TGCTCACAATTTGTAGTCACAGACATCTGTACATCTAAAGATAAGATTTTTAATTCGCTATTTGCATTTCCTGATGATTAGGTACAATTATAGTAATAATTATTTTTCTAATTTTTGTACTCTAATTAATTCTTCTGCTGCACTTGTGTGATTTCATATTAAAACTGTTACATCTTTTGGATTTATATTAAATGTCTGAGACTAACTTTGCTGATATCATTATCTAAAAAGCTGCTCTCAAAACTATTATTTAACACTGATCGCTGAGAAATACACAGCAATAGAAAATGCAATTTGACCTAATTTTATTATACATATACAAATAATTAGAAAAGATCAGATTGCATTTACAAAATATCTCGCACATTTCAAGAAACAATATGTGCATTACATTATCCGTTTTACCGATCTATTCTCTTCGTGGAAATTCAGAAATACTATTCTGGCTAATTTGTCTAAGACCAGCGATCTCACAATACTCGGCACTCGTACGCCCCGTACTCCACGATGATGCAAATTTAATGTCACAACCGCCAAGCCAGATGCGAAAGATACCAAGCAAATGCTAACTCCGTAATAAAGACCTGAAAGCATCAAAGGAGAAAAGCTCGATAGAATAGATAAATGGAAGAATTTTTCTCAGATAAAAATCTCCGAAAAATGCAAAAAGTAATTGAAATAATATTACATATAAAATGCAAAAAATATATTATTTTTTAAATAATTATATATATTTACCTTATAAAATATATTATTCTATATATAAATTTAATTTATATTAATATCGGAAGAAAGAAGAAAATAGCTAGCTAATAAAGTACTTACTTATTAATGGTGTTTTTTCTGTGGGTGGTAAAGTTTCGCGAATGGTCATCAGAAACACCGTCATAGAGAGAAGGGCCGAGATGCCAAGAGTGACCTTTTCTCCTGATTCAGAGGGCACGTAGAACACTAGAAGAGCTGAAAAGCAAATGGGAAAAGCATTAGCGTAAGTTTTGCTCTTACCGCGAATTAATAAATCTTTGAAATAATATTTCTTAGTAGAGAGAGAAAGAGAGTGTCAGAGGTTGTCTTTGAAAAATTTTTTTTCATTTAATTGGTAATTACTAAGCTATGGATCGATTCTGATATCGGGCAAATCCTGAGCAAATTTCTTTCATTATCGGTAAATGGCAGCTGCAATGTAATGAAATGCTTCGGTTCACGCTGTCGTTTTCTGAAAAGCGACAGCTTAATACATTTGTCCTCATTTGCAAATCCTAAGACGATTTAAACCCGATAGCTGATATTATTTTTTGAAATATCGTTATCACATGATGTTAATATTTCTCATTCATCAATCAATATTCTTATGCCCCATTTACTATACTTGATCCTTTGCACTCGGAATGCCACTTGTGCTGGCATGAACATTCTCATTCATTCCGGCAACTCGGAATGCCACTTCTGCTGGCATGAGCATTCATTCCGTCAACTCAGAGTTTGCAAGATTATTGGTATTTCGAACTTTTTGTTTCATTTTTTTTTTTCAAAGGTATTTTCACGTAATTGATTCATGCAAATATTTTATTTATAATATTTAAAATATTAATATTGAATTTTTATTAATATTTTATTTTGTTTATATTTTTATTCAAGCAAATATTTTTTTACAGATATTTTCGTGATCGATTCATCTTCTCAACAAAAAAATAGTCGTAAATTTTTTATGACAAATTTATAATTCGAGCGGAAGGAAATATTGAAATATTACTCGAGTGCAAATAACTATTTTTTTAACAAGAAAGGAAAGAAGAAGAGAAGAATAATTAATTAAAAATATCATGATTATATCAGTTTTGATAAAATATATAATTTCTGAGAAATAAAGAAATGTCTCTTTAAAAAATCTATCCCCGTTTCGATGGTCTTTCTCTATGATTCCTTAATATATAAATATAATAATGTAATCACAATTCACCGCGGGTATTCCATACCGTTCTAGTCACGTATGCACATTTATGTACTCCACTTACCAACGCCGTTGATTAGTATGCAGGGCAAGATCAGATTGAAGACATAGAACATCGGACGTCGTCGCAAATGGATCTCGTAGGTGATGTCCGGATACGGCTCCTGGCAGCAGGAGTAGTATTCGACGTTTCGGCGAGCAGTGAAGTTCAGGAGATGAAATTCACCGTTCGCTTGATAATTACTCACGTCACCTTGCTCGCTTATTCTCTTCAGCTCGAGCTGATGCCCACAGAATTTTGTTCACATGGATTAATTTGATCGTTATAATGAAGAATGTCGTTTAGTCTATTAAGTCCGATAAATTTGCGGGTAATAAAAAGGATAACCGAAAGAGCGAGGTTTGCACTGTTTGTTAAACGTAAATAAAAATCAACGAAAAGCCAATTCAGTTTATCGGTTAAAAGTTAAATGAACAGGTCGAGTGTCTTTCGTTGCGATTGAGATCTTTTTGTCGCGTAACAATTATTAAATTGTTATATTTTATTAATAATAGCAAACCGAGATATCTGTTGCGGTAACGTCACACAAATAAATCAGATCTTATTAACAAAAGTAAAATATTATCTATGTGCATGCTCAATAAATATTCTTGAGTTAGCTTTAATAGCTTTGGTTCTATTTTTCTTCATTATTTTTTCATATCTTGAATATTATATAAAATAATTTGCTATATCGCTTAGCTGTTAATTAAATTGACACAATCTTTAAAAAATTATTATTCAGATAAAAAATTGTTTCGAATTTTTGATTAAGTAAGAAAAACTTTTTCTTGTTTCTATTTCTATTCCATTAAACAATTAATAATTAACTTCTAGTAATTAAAAATTTCTTCATTAGAAATACGAGAAGTGATTAATTTACGCTTTGCAAAAAACTTTAGATTTTAAACCGCATTCTCGACTTTTGCGTGATGAGGAAAAGCGGCAGTGGCAGCATAAAGTGTATTCAATACGAAAGGATAGAAAATGGGAAAACTCTGTGAAAAATAGGCAGAGCCCGGCGCAGAGAGTGGCTCTCGTATTGAATTCTTCTCGCGATGTTGGGATTAAGCTCTTCGATCTACCCGAACCATTTTCACGACTTGACGGGTCTGCGTTTTCGGTTCCACAGCTACGTTAAGCGTTTCCGAATTACAGAAGTTCGATCGGCTTCGCTTTGCAAACAACACAACTCTAAAAAACTATTTCTTTTTTTTTTGCTTATACTCCGCATGTAAAATTCATGCTGTGTCGCATGTATATATTGTACGTCGAAATTCTTTCTTCTATACATTAGCGTGTAATATCGAAAAAGAATTATTGCGTTTTTGAATATATGGAAATGCAGAAGTGCTTGCGATCCTTATAATAATTTTTTAATAATTTAAAAATATATTTAGATATGAGATATAGTCCATCTAAATCCATCTAATTCATTAAAATTGCGTCGAATTTATTATGTAGTTTCACATTTTTTATATAAATTATAATCAATACATCAATGTTTTAATCCTGCATTTTTACGAGAACTATAAAATATATCCTGGTAAGTTTTTAAGTAAGTAAAAAGGTAATATTGCGAAGAATTATGGCTAGTTTCACGCTGAATTTAATTCCATTAAAAAAAAAAATTTGCAAGATGAATATCCGTGTTGCCCGACAATTATTCACGAAGCAATTTTAAACTGTTTCAAAGTTCCATAATTACAAGAACAAATAAAAAAAATTTTTTTTTAATTAAAAGAAAAATTTGATATGCAATGCAGTGATCTATTCTATTGAAATCAAATACTCAATTATGCAAATATACAACTTTGGTAGATTGTAATCACACAAATAAAAATTCAGGAACCGTTCGATGTGAAATGTAGAATATAAAATGTAGAACTTACTTGAAATCCATCGTATGTCCAAGAAGCCCATTTAAGGGCACATCGTTGTTCATCAAAGGGAAAGAACTCAACGTTTATGTCGCAACTGCTGCGGAAGATCCCATGACTTAGCCAGACCACTTCGCCCGTATGATCGACGATCACATTTGTATTGATGACTGCTGAACTGTACTGTGGATCTGCACTGTAACAAAAAATTGCAATTATTAATTTACATTCCAAAGCTAGCGGAGTTCATTTTCTTATCCGTGTAAAACAACTGCTCACTTGTTGTATAAAATCATGTCAGGTCGCCAGACGCGATTGTAGGGAACGCGGATTACTTGAATTCCAGCGAACTCTGAAGCATTCCATTTCAAATGATGATCAGTCCAAACCTGTTTAATCCAACAATTGGTCGTGAGTATCTGGTTCTTTTCATCCTGCAATGAAAATATAATATAAATAGTGAGCTGCAAAAAAAATTAATATTTATATTAATTATGATACGAATTTAAAAATCAAAATATAAATAAATGATAATATTTATTAATATTCTTTTCTAAAGAATTTTGTTTATTTTACCGGCAGCAGGCTTCTGACTCATTTAAAAAGATTTTTACTGAATAATTAATTACAAAAATAAATTACGTTAAATATTTATTTAATTGATAGTATATTTTTGTGACATAAAACAAAAGATTTCTCTCTATTTAGAGAATTATTAAGCAATTTACCGTAGATATTTAATTTATCACGCTTCAAAGAATATCTGTTTGTGAAAGAAAATCGTTGAAATCGATTTATTTGATTAATTAGAGTTCACATATATCGGCGAAACAGAACAATTGCCAATGGTATGTTCCAAACAATTAATGATGTATCTTTTTCTTCATTTATTCAGAAAAAAAATTCTTTACTTTTTCAAATTCCCGACAATCGCAACTTATACTCAATATGAGGTTGAACCAAAAGCTGTGAAATGAATGAAAACAGCCATATGACGGAAACATTGATAATTAGAAAACAAAGAATTGTATCGCACATCATGTTTCGTGTTTCAAAATTTCGTAGTTCAAAATTAACTGGCTTGTTTGAGAGGGAAGTATGCAGGATATTTTAATAATACTTCATATATTGACATTTAAGATTATTACACCCGAATACTTACAACATCGATAATGTGATGAAGCGAAAGCTCAAAGACTACGACCAAAGGCTGGGACGAATTTTTAGCTGGTCTCACGCCGGCATCATATCCATCTAATAAGTGCTTTGTCAGTCTGTATTCGTGTTCGTCGCAAACACCTAATCAGATGAAGCAAAACGCAATCAATTATGTTAATAAAATGCATGTTATTTTATCTTTATGCATTATATTTAGATATTTGTTAAGTTCGTCAATTTAACATCAATAATTTTGTAGTCAAAACATATTGATATTGCTTATGAATGTCGAATATCCTTCAATTTATTTGGCTATAAAAATTTTTATATTTTTTTCCTCGTTTTCAAGACTTTTAAGATGGGGCAAGATCGAACCCGAGAAATAGTGTAAAATCCCGAGAAACAGTCTCGCAAAAACGGCTTGTAGGATTTCTTTCAGATTCTTCTCTTTGATTATAGGGCTTTGATTTATTGCGTGGATGTTCGTGATCCATTATAGCGATCGGCTACATGATCAGTAACGACAGTCCATCCCCATTGAAACGACTATTGTGCTGTGAAGAGTGGTGAAACCTGTTAGAGAACCAAAGCTAATCTCAGTTCGGTCCTCTTCTCTTCTCAGCAATGTAGATGCACAGAAAGATTCTTTGAGGAAGATGAGTGATACCACTCGTAATTAAGAAAGTGAGTCCTTACGTTCTTACCGAACTGTAAAAGTCGTACCTTTAAACGACAAACAGAACTCTCTTCAAAGTGTGCATTATCAAATTAAAATTATTGTTCTATCACAGTTTTACAGATTTACTGACACGATGCATCGTGTTTGCAAAATCATTTTTTACAAATAATTTTTTCAGCGCTTACATATTTTAATAAATACTTTTTTAACATCGGATTTTAACGCTACGCATTTTCACGATTTTTATACTTTAAAATCTTTATTCTTGAGAGAGGATGTTCCCGAAAGATTCTCATAAATCGCGAAATAGGCCGCCGTCTGCCACTATCATCGAGACGAAAAATCTCACGGATTTGTAATGAGATCGCATGTCGACACTGCATAAGCTGCAGAATATCTCGTAGGTCTCAATCGACTGAATTTCTTTAGTTGAAGATTATTCCTCATAATATAAAGATATTCGATAATCCAGCATTTCGAGCATTAAATTAGAATTGTAAGTATTAAATTTTAACGATGGAGAAACAAATATTATTTTTGTCCCATTCAACAAAATAGAATACGACCAAATAATTCCTAAAAGTAGATAAAAACATTAAAAAAAATCTATTTTCCATTATCAAAAATCTATTTTTTTAATAAAATTGCATGTATATATCTCTATTTCGCATATCTAAATTTTTTCGCGTTTTTTAGTGCATCAAATTGCACAGAAATATTGAATTTTTTGCATACAACCAGTTGTGTATTCCACATTCCGAAAAATGGATAGAACTTGAAAGTAATATAAACTTAATCAGCGGCACAGCCGAGACTGCTGAAACCTTGTACGTAAACCGATTTACTAAATGTAGGTGACGACAAATATGCAAATTCTATCGATGTCCTGATCATATAATCTAGTGGCATGAACGAGGCATCGAATAGCCCCTTGATGCGATTGATTCGCAAACGTTTACACTGCTAGCTGCTGCATCGCAAACATAGCGTAACGTGATCCGCTTAAGATCACGAGTCACATATTACAAAGAATAAAATTTCTTTTTATTAATTCGAACTCCATTCGAATATATTACAAATTTACAGATTACATTAAGTTAGAAATATTATATAAAAAATTAATCAAAAGTAAAATATAATTACTTTAATTAAAAATAGTTAGGAAAACCTTTTTTTTTTAAATCAAATAAATAAAAAATAGTTGATAAGAGTCAAAACTATAAGTTTTTTCGAGTGTTTGCGTGCAAGCAATATCAAGCATAACGTGTTTCAATATACATAGTTACATCGAAGAGTAACATTATTGCACTCTGAAAAAGCTGCGTTCGGCGATAAAAGTTCTGTGTGAATCTTTCTCTTATGCTTGGCACAAATTACGCCGCTAAAAGTAAACTCACGGAATTCTACTTGAATACATCGACTTCATTTTAGCACCATTGTAAATGGATTTTCTCGCAAACCAAAGTGAATTTAAATTTTGTGCAATTGAAGATTCGTGATAAGTATTCATTCATGCATCCATTAAGTTGACTCTGTTACTTTTCGCGGATATTAAAAAAAAAATAATAATGCCACTGTGAAAACTGTAAATTGTTGAATTACCATAGCCCTTGAAAATTTCAAGGCTGAAAGATCATAAAAATCACAAACTATCAGTACTGGTTTTATCGAGGACACTTTTCTAAAAATAGTGCACAATTCAATGATGTTTTGACCCTGGGAATTTGATTGCGCCGCCAATTTACATTTCCGATATCTTTGATATCAGCGGTTGTGTAATCGCGGCGGGCAAAAGCTATGACGTATTTTAACACTCGACAATATCTAAACAGTTCCTTCGATGTTCTATATTTCGGCACCGCGAGAACCTTGAAACTTTATTGACAAGGCTTAAATCCTTCTCAACTTGCGAGAATATTGAATATTATAGGAAAGAGTAAATATCTGAATTTTACAAGATATCTTCAAGATGACAAGTATCAATAACTTGATTCTTGTAATAGAATTAACTTTGTATAATGTTTATATATGTACAAGTTAATGAATTTTTCTTATGTCAATAAGCTTAAATTTTGTAAAAATTTATTAGAAATTTCACAGTATAGCTGGCATTTTTAAATTTCACACATATGCGTATACACACCTTTTTTATTTTTATCAAAATCAAAAATAAAAAGTATTGCTACTATTAGTTTGCTCTCGATTCAATAATATCTGTGCCTCGATATTGAAACAATCATCAATAAAAAGAAGCAGAACAAAAACAAAAATTTTAGTTTACAAGTGCAAATTTGTAACAAATATTTACAAGCATAGTTACAAACTACTGATAAATAGAAATGCAATATTCAGAAAATATGTACTCACCATTTCCGAAAATGATGATTAAAAGAAACCCGTATTGAAAGAACAGAATGATAGATGGTGACATGGAATCGTGAGCTTGCTTAACCGCGTGATCGCCTACGTACGACTGATATACAGTGGCGATTTTCAACCACTGTGCAATTTCACCCCCGAATCTTGCGCCATCCCTACTAGAGGTCGTGGATTCCGAAGAAAATTCGCGCAGGCGTTCATCGAAATAATACAGATTCTAGTATTGTATGTACGTAAAATTTTAAACGCGGAAAAAATATGGATGTGAATTTCTCTCAAAGTTCACGTTTGTATTCTTTTTTTAAATTAAAACTAATTTCATCTTGTGCTTAATAAAAAGCATAATCAAGATAATAATATCGTAGTTTTTCAGAAAAATACACAAATTACATATCTGCAATTTAGAACTCTTTTATATTAAAAATTTTGTGTAAAATTTTTCATGTGAAACTTTTATGTAGCATTGAATATTAAAATATTAACTTTTTTGTACATTTTGTATATTTAAAATATTTTATTAACAAATAAAAATGCAAAATGTCATAATGTTATTACAATAAATTACAAAACATTATAGAATACAAATTATTATCTTTATTTTATTAATGTATTAAATTACGAAAACAATAAATAGCATGCACGACTTTTGAAACAAGATATATGTATATATTTTTACAACCAATCGTGAAACAAATAATCTTTTTACAGATTATATCTTTTTACAGATCATATCTTTATGAGCGAAATAAAATGCTTAATAATAAATAGATTGAAAACGATACAAGTTATTGATCTTAAATTGACAATTTATTGTACATCATTTTCTTATCAACGTTGTATCAAAAGGCATAATATTTATCGTCATTAAACTTGAATAAACAAAATTAGGTTTACAATTCTCTATAAATTTCCCTATATTACACTCTGGCACTTGAGACTAATGATGTGAGATAATTAAATATTTTCTCAATGTTATTCATGTATTTTCAAAATATTTTTTTGAAATATTATTGAAATATATAATTTTGGTACCAATATCTAGCTGTTGGCTCTTCTTTTTTTACCTTTTAAGGTAACTTCACTTTTTTATATAAATTATTATTTAATTTATTATTTAAATCATCGGAGCCTTGTTTAATCTTATATTTATTTTTTATTATCGATTATTGTATATTTTCTTGAAAATATTTCCTCACATCACTGCTTAAGATGTTCGACGTAAACGATGCGGTAGGCCGGGTTAGATCAGCTGGAGAATCCAGGATTAGTATGTTCTATAATGCAACGTCGGCAGTAACGTTTAACAGCGCGATAACCGACCCATGTGACTCTCGAGCACTCGCCGATATTGAGTTGTCGCAAACCTCGTACGTAATAAGCTAACGCTTCGAGACCGGTATCGGTAACTCTCTCGCATCCGCACAAGGACAATTTTTTCAGATTCGGGCATCCCGTTGAGAGTGCTTCGAGAGTCGCATCGCCGATATCGCATTTGCCGATATCTAGAGCACGCATACGTGGACAACCGCGCGCCAGGGCGACGGTTGCACTGTCGCTGAGTGCCTCGCAACCGCGAGCATTCAGATAACGCAACTTGTAGCAGTGACGAGCGACAACCAGCAAACCGGCATCTGACACGCGATCACATTTGCCTACGGAAAAATAGCGGAGCGACGAACCGAGATGTGCCGCCAATTCGCGTACTCCAAAATCCGTCACTTTCGTGCAGTCTGATACGGACAGCTGACGCAAACTAGCGCAATAAGACGCAATAGCAACCAGGCTGGAATCGGTAATGTGAGCGCACCTACGCAGATAAAGACATACCAGATGTGGCATGCGTGACAGACTCAGTATCAGGCCAGAATCTTCCACGCTGTGGCAGTCACTTAAATCAAGGGACTGTAGCTGCAAGGTGGTAGTACGACCACAGGCTCGAGTGACATTGGAACAACCTGTCAAATCAAGCTCTTTGAGATGAGTGCAGCTGTCCAACACGGTGGCAACGTTGGCGTCAGTGACGCGACGCGAATGTCGCAGTACCAGAGAAGTCAGATTAAGATACGGCAGTTGTGCGAAGATGCTAGGCAATCCGGTGGCACCTTCCAGAATGAGACGACGGATGCATGTGTGGCAGCCGCGACGCGTCAGTGCGTTCAAAGCCGCACTGGCATTTTGCGGATAACGTACCTCAACTTCCCGCCAAAGCACTGGGTGCCACGCGATCTCCCATAGACGTCGACAAGTTTGCGCGAGATTGCAGCGATCACGAGTACCCAGCCAACTGAAGATTTTCAGGAGTAAACTGTCGTCGAGCTGGCAGAGATTACTGATCGCTGTGTGATGAATCAGATGATGTTTAGGTTGCTGTAGCTGCTGTTGCTGCTGCTGTTGCTGTTGTTGGCAAATTGGTGTGCTAGATGCACCAGGAGTCGACGAGGATGATGATGACGTAGTGCGGCAGGCATTATTGTCGAGGGTGTGGTAACCCAAATCGATGGCATCCGCAATTGGCCGATATACGCTGATTTTCTGTGATGTGTAGCCCTTTCCCTTCTCAGCGGCGCTCTGCTCTCTGAAGCTGGGAAAGAGGAGTGGACATGATCCGTCCATTCCATGCTCCGTTCTGCAATTTAGAGTTTATTTCTATACACAATTATGTTTAACACTTAAATATAAATAAGATTTAAATTGTTTGGATTATTTAGAAGAAATTGCAAATCAAAAATTTTCTTTTCAACTTTTAGAAGGCAACTTTTTTTAATTATAAAGTTTTTGTTCTAAAATATAATGTATTTATTCAAAAAGTTATGATATTAAGTTCCGGACAATTAAACATTCACAATAATAAAGATAAAACTATCACATTAGACGTTAATTAAATTTTCAAAAGTATTTCGTTTCTCTCGGTAATATAAATATTCATGCAAACTGCATGAATGAAGTAGCGTTATTAACTTTTGAAAAAATTTGCTACTATAAATTTTAAAATTTCGCGCAAACTCTTATATGTATAAAGTATAAATTAACAGCGTATATTCTTTTTGTTGCATTCATTTATATTTCAATGCTGATTTTACTCACAACGAAATGTTGGACGGGAGAGTTAATGACCATGTGTGACATCGCCAAGCAATATCAATTTATTCGCCACCTCCATGTTGATCCCGCATTCCAATTCTTGTAGCAACTGTGGAGCTCGAACTCTTATGAGAACAATGCGAGGCTTTGAAGACAAGGTTTATACTATTATTATTCGTGTCCTGGAATTGATCAAATTGTACAGTTAACGTGAAACTTACGTGATTGCGTTTCAGATTTGAAACGAAAAATTTAGCACATGACATTCAACACACTTATAGGACCCAACTGGACCCCAACACTATCGACTGGTCCCCCTCCCCCCCCCTTCTTTCCACCATTCCCATAACTGACCCCACGGCGAATCGATCAACCGGGATTTCTAGTGGGTCCGAAATGAAAAATGGAATGTTGGAGTTCAAAGAACAAAAAATTCCTTAAAAGCATCACAATAAGTTCATGCATATGAGACGTACTGTAAATTTTATATGAAATACATAATAAACGTAATAATAATAATAAAATAATATCACGTGTAATAATTGCAACATCGAACAAATCGATCTTACAAGCCTTCGATATATTCTGACAAATATGTATAACTATGTTAAATATAATATTAAATATAATAAATATATTGCACATAATTATACGAGTCAAATATAAATTTATTTTAAACAAGTGGTAAGTCAATTTTCTTCTACATATGCGCTTATGCAAATTTGTGTGGATATACCTTTATAAAAAATTTACATTAACTACATCCATACTGTAACTAGATTGCTAAGATCTCGATGTTAAAAATTATTAAATACATAATTTCAAAACTTATATATTAAACTCACGTGTATAGGTAGTAAAAGAATCATTTTCCATTGATGATCTGAAATATAATAAACGTGCATATTATACGCCATACGCGCATCGAGCATGTAAAGCCGAACGACGTCGAGCCCAGCCGAAATTGCTCGATGTACTTGTGATTCCTCTTTGCCCCTTCGGTGGCACCGGTGATTGAGTGGCTAATATTATTTTTAGTTACTGTTCGTAAATTCTCATCACGTCTTTCCAATTTGCATCTTTTGGGTAAGTATATTTCTTACATGAACTATTATAATATACTGATTTGTCATTTGTATTGTAAATTTTCGGATTATTATGTATGAAAGTTTGCTTTGGTTAGGAAAGGTTATGTTGTAGCGTCATATTGATTTCTGCATTCTATACTTTATTTACAAATTTTTGAGATATTATTATATCACAACGTATGACAATGTTTGACATCAACGTATGCATACTTTATAAATAAATATTCTAAATTATTATTTATGTTATTAAGTCTATTGAAGCTTTTATATTATATTATACAGACATATCACATATTATCACTTGTTGTAGAAATAATATGGTAAGAGGACGTGGAGGAATGATTAGAGGTGGCCGAGGAGGTATGGGTCGTGGCATGGGTTTTCCACGGAAACAATTTTTACCACGTCATCCATTTGATTATACATTATGTGAAGCTGCTTTTCCACGAGTTAAATCTGCTCCTGATGAATCAGACTTTCAGACGGCCCTTCTGAAGAAAAATGCTGACATGTGCCCTACGCCAAAGGAACAAACTTCCATCTTAAATCTTGTTACTAAACTGCAAAGTGTTCTTGATAACCTAATTGTTGCACCTGGAACTTTTGAAGCTTGTGTAAATATCATGTTTTATTATAACATTGTGTAGTAATAATCATTTGTATTTAATATGCTTTTTTATACTTTGTTACATGTATTACAGCAATTAGAAGAAGTAAGACAAGTTGGCAGTTTTAAGAAAGGCACAATGATAAAAGGCCACAATGTTGCTGACATTGTTGTTATTCTCAAAACTCTGCCGACGAAAACAGCAGTAGAGGCTCTTGGAAGCAAAGTTAATAACGACTTGAAAACTGTGAATCCGAAAGAAATGTTCAGGCTTATACAAACTGAACGAGGTTTTGATATCGCAATTAATGAAGCAACTGTACGCGTATTAATAACGACATTGCATCAAAATCTACGTAAGCTGGAATCTGATCAACATTTAGATGTCAAAATTTGTCAAGGTAATTGTGAATTTTTTATAGTTACCTGATCTTGATAATTATTGCTATATTGTTAATTAAATACCACAAGTATTTAATTTTTTTCTATTTATAGGACATCTCGCTGCTATCAGACATTCTCGCTGGTTTGAAGAAAACGCTCATCACTCTAGTATTAAAGTTTTAATACGATTACTCCGTGATCTTAGAAGCAGATTCGAAGGCTTGGAACCGTTGTCTCCGTGGATGCTGGATTTATTGGCACACAATGCCATAATGAACAATCCTAGCAGGCAAGCATTACCAATAAACCAGGCGTACAAGAGAGTATTGCAGTTACTTGCCTCTGGACTCTTTCTCCCAGGATCTGCAGGTATTTATATTTTTATTTTATTTCAACTTACATAATTTTTGTTTCTATTTATAAATGCCGGTATCTGAGTACCCGAATATTTAAAATATGATAATTAATTAATGTTATGCTGTCAGCATAAACGATTTTAAAATTATAAAAATTGAAATTCATAATTTCGACATAAATATTTCGACTCTGCTTTTTAATTGTATTGTCTTGAGAGTCGGCCTGTATTCTTGCAAAAAAGCACCTATATCAAAACTGTGTGCATCACACTGTGTCGATTTTGTTTCTTGTCGAAAAGTATTCTTAGTTTTGCGACAATTATGTAGACTGCAATAACTTTTCTTAGGTATCTCTGATCCGTGCGAAGGTGGTAATATACGCGTGCATACCGCAATGACCCTTGAACAACAAGATCTCGTATGTCTTACCGCTCAGACATTGCTGCGCGTATTAGCTCACGGTGGCTATAGACCATTGTTGGAAGGCACGAATAAACTCGCGGTGGAAATGAGCGTATGGGCAGGTGGTGTTGTGGCAAGTCCGTTAGACAAAGCGTACGAACCTCCTACAGAGCAGGAGCAGCAGGAAGATATGGACGAAAGCAATGAAGAGATGATAACAGAAAGTGTTTAAATTTTCTTTAAGTTAAAATTAGAGCATAAAAAGTTTCTTTCTCTTATGACATGGAATATTTACTTTCTTATCAATGTTTCTTATAAAATGTATTGTATTTAATATTTGCACATACATTTTGACGGTAACAAAAATCTCAGTTAACATTTAAAATTACACTTTTACATGATCGATATTATGGACAATGCATTAGCGAAACCGAATGTGTCCATGAAATACAAAATGTGACGTATATAAAATAAATGACAGTGCGTAATATATAAAGATTCAGTTGTACAACTGATTTTCCTCCAAACTCTTTTCTATATGTGTAATATTTTGTCTCTATGCAACTTTATATAGAATTGTAGATGCCATGAAGATTTGATCTTTAAAGATTTTAGGATTAGAAAAATTTTTCTTTTGTTAAAAAATATTTTAATGACCATGTGTGTAAATAATATTATGTAAATATCTCGGGCAATTGTCTACAGATGCATATGTAGGTCCCGAATGTGCTTCCATTATGCATCTATGGTTTGTTCACTTGGCAGTGATATGCACGTCACTTAACGAATTTGTGACAAAATACACGGTAGACAATCTTCGTTCAGAGCTTAGTGTAAACAAGGATCATTCTCCGTGGTTCTGGCGATTCGTGCGCAATTGACTGTGCGAGAACTGGTGCCCGGTCGAACCGGCACCTTGAAAAGTTTGCCCTGCGGCATGCACACACAGACCTTGTACTGCTCGTGACTTGTGACAGGACTCGGCAAAAACATCGGCGCTACCGGGATATTCTCCACGTCGATGGAAACGCCATCCTTTGCGTCCAGCACGATGCTACCATTCACACTCTTCAGGAAGACATCCATATCGGCACTCCATACGACGTCCTTGCTTTCGACCCACACACCCTCTGCGCCGTGCAACGAGATTTGACTCCCAGATGTAATTTCTAAACTCTCGTTGACCGGCGACGTGATTCGGTGGGTCTCTGTGATCTTCACGTCGATTATTTTGACACCGCTCGGCAGACCAAAATTCGGGAAATCGGTGGTGAAATAAATAGCGCCTGTACGCGGATCCTTCATCTCAAATGATTCTACTTCTGATACAGTGGTTCCGTTCGGTAGAACGCCAAGTTTCGAGTGAGGTTGCACCTCGTGAGCGCGATTGCGACTATTCACATCGACGCGTATCCCAGCGCTGTCACCAGATATCTCCATCGGTTCATCGCCGTAACTCTGACAGATTCCCGATTGCAGCGATATCTTTAGAAAATATTTAAAAAATCCAATCAAGATATAACATTCAGAATATTGATGCTTGTGTGAGATTTTTAAAATTAAATCTTCATTATTTCTTTTCGTCTGTTATCTATCTTTAAGGGTGTATGAGTCACATGTTAAAACATTTTGATAAAACATTTTTAGCTAATAACTAAACTTCTATAATTAATATAAATATTTCAAACATTGCAGAAAAAATATGTACCTTGTCTAAATCGGTTTTTCCATAAAACTTTACGAGATTTTCGTCAGGTATTACTTCTATGGCCTCCATTCCTTGGCTGATGCGTAAAACAGCAATGACAGTGATATTCAGGAAAAGATTACAGAGGCCGATTACTGCCAGAACCAAAGTTAAGGTCCAAAGGCAGTAACGCTTTTTCATGGATTTTTCGTTTGTTGACATACTGTAGGAAGAACCGATTGTCCTGTTGAATTGCCCAAATTGAAAGTTAATTATGTATGCCGAAATGATCTTAATTTGCTAATCACTTAATTAATATATTCCGATTTCAAATTCTCATTTATTTTCTTTCTAAATTATAATATTAATCAAAGTAGATATCCGAACGGTCAAACATTTAAGAGTTCAATCATTATTAAAAATACAATTTTTTTCTATCAAAATAATATTTTTCTCATCTTTTGTATGTAATAAAGATTAACATTTATTTATATAGAATACACGCAAAGAAAATATTTTTTAAAAGAAAAATTCAAAAACTTGTTTCTAAAATTGTTATAACATGTCCGGCCACTGAGACAATTGTCTTATTTAATATGCATTTTTTAGTGCATGATTATTTTTACCGTGCGCGCACGTTGCTGCAACTATTTTGGCTCATAAGACCCTTAATCAAGGGCCCATCACTGTTAGACAGATTATCATCAGCCTTTGATATCGATGGTGAGCCAGTATCATTTCCACATACATCTAGAAGAGCCGACATTTGGTGTTCTTGTATATCCGTTTGTCTATTGAAAAATTAAATATTAGATCATTATCAAACTTATATATTGTTTTGATATTATATATAAAAAGAATTAAGATAAATGGACAAATTGAAAAAAATTTAGCTTTAAACACTGTCAATTAAGTATTTTCTAATTAAATAGAAATATTAGGTTACTCGTTAATATTTTACCTATTAACATTTTAACATATGATTATCTTATGATTTTTAAATAAAATTTATGTGAAAAGTATAATTTTTAATATACTATTTTTTTAAGGTGTCAAAAAAAAAAATATAATCTATATTAAAATGATTTTTAAGTAGTAGTGTTTGTGATAAAATCTAATTTTATTTAAAATCTATTACTGTAAATTACAATATACTCATACAATTTGTAAGTTCTGTTATACACTTACACCGTAATTATGTAACAATTCATACCTCATGTCTCCAACATTGCCACAATTTTAAGAATATAAAAGCAGCATCATGTTTTTTTGCTATCAAAAATAATCTGATTGATTTCAAGGGCTTGCCCTTTGCAAGCTATCGCCGCACATCGATAAATTTTTCTGTGTCAAATGCACATCCTCCGTGTGATGAAATGTATAGCTGGTTGCTTCGCGAGCGATTTCCTTACCTCAACTTGGGAACCAGCTGTGTTGCGGGGAGCGACTGCTTCCTCAGGTAAACGAAAATAGACGACCGTGTTACTTTGTTCGCCGAGTACGACGAACGGACTCACCGACGATCGGGAACGATGGAAGTAGGTGAAAATTTGTTGGTCCGCGCTTGCGCATCCAGGGATCAATGCCGAGTATCCTTAGAAATTCTCTCTCGCGCGCATCCACCTCGAAGAATTTACATATTCGCACTTCTTCCTATAGAACAGAATCTTTCACCCACACAATTACAACAACTCTACAATTATATAAATTACAGTAAATTATGTAATTAACAACTGTATGTAATATTACAAATTGTTATAATTACACGGCTTAATATAATATATGTTATATATTGTATATTACATCGAGAGAGCAAATTTGTCATTGTACGTAAGATTACGATCTCTATACATTTGGCAATATACTGATAAACTTTTTTATTACATTAAATGCTTATATTGTTAAAGTAAGACCTAAAAATGAAAAGTCACAAAAACGAGATATTACATTGTTTAAAAGAACAATTTATTTAATATTTTAAAGAGAAATATATTTAAAGTAAAAGTAATAGCACATTAAAAGTATTCTGGCCATGCGTTTCTTTCTATCCAGGGGATATAATGATAAACTCGAGTGTACACGCCGGGTATGATGCTTCCACAACCCCGTCCAACGCTGGTGATTCCGACCACATTATACGTGCAATCGTGATCCGTGTTAAAAACAGCGAGAGGTCCTCCGCTATCACCCTTGATAACAGCAAAAATTTATTTTGTCAATCTACTTAAGCTTATTGTTAACTTATTTATCATGAAAATTATATAATATTTCTTCTTTTGTAAAAACTAACTAAAAGTTTTAATTAATTTTCTATCTTTTTACAATTTTTTTAAATGATACATATATGCACTACTAACACTAACTAGTTCGTCGTAAAGGATTAGGAAGGATGAAAGTGTGTGTTTGGTGTAAAGCAATATTAAATATATTACCTGACATGTATCTTTCCCCACTTCTCCTGCACATATTTGCCACTCGTTGACAACACCTCGTGCAAGCTCTATGCTAATACCGCTATCGAAAAAGCTTGCATTGCAAGATGTGTGCGGGACCAAATTGAGGGTTACTTTCAACAGATTGTCCGACCCTTCTTCTTCAGCTGAAAAAAAAGCAGCACAATATGTACTAATTTCTACATATTTGTATATATAATTATAACGCTCTTGTACAGAGTCTCAGACCAATTGTATCATCCGTTAATAACACATCTCAGCATTTCCTGAGATCATTGGAGATGAAAATCTTTATTTTAAAATATCGAGGCAATAGTTTTTTAATATGTATTTAAAAACAAATAAATATAAAACTAAATTGAACCAAAACCTATTACACGAAGTATTGTATTACTGTGCTATTAAACAATGTTACACAATTTTAAACGTATTTTTCTCGAAAAATTGATGTTTATCACAAGTTGGATTTTTTTCAAAGGGAGTTATGCATATATTTATAGTTACAAGATTTGTATAATTGCAATATCATACGTTTAAATGAGTATTTCTGATCTTACCCCAATCGACTAGACCCCATCCAGTAGCAACTGCCATGTTATCCGAGCCTACGTCAGGCCAGTCAACTGGAAGGCATGCTGGTCTAACCCAAGCGTTGTAGACGACTTCGTTCTCCAACCGCAATATAGCTATGTCATGATACTGTGATGGACGTTTATACTCAGGATGTCTTATTTTTTCTTGAATTCTGATAGTTTGTGGCCTCGCGTCGTCATTATTCTGCTTAAGATTCAGATCGCCAACTCGCACCCATGTTGCTGCTCCCCTTTAAAGTTTTAGTATAAAATAAGAAATATCTGGTTATTAAATTTGCATTTTTTAGCAATATATTCTGAAGTAAAAGAAATGATTTTTTTTTATATTCTGAGTATAATGAAATAAAATGAGTTAATTTTTATGATCGGCGATCGAAGCTTTAGGAAAATATTTACTCTTTATTATTTTTGTCAATTTTCTAAAGATTGGATAGAGAAATGTTAAAGGTAAAACTGTTAAACTTACCAGTTCGTTGACCAAGTACAGTGGGCCGCTGTTAGGACGACTTTAGCGGAAATCAAGGTACCACCGCAGTTCCACAAGATCCTCCCATCGCTACCGTCGAAGCCGATAGCTGCCATATGTGGAAATTCTTTGGGTTCAGCTTTTTTGCCACCGACGATCAGCTTACGTGTTTTCAGAGCGCACAGTGATACATTGACAGGCTTCCTATATATTGTGGGTGTAGGTGGTATTTGTAGAGCGTAGACAGCCTTCGCGTTCTCCACGCATTCTAAGCAAAGATGATTACTTTGTATAAGCAGACATACATACGCATGTTCATCATTTCATATTTTTATATAGTAAGATATATTGTCATGGCTGGAAATAGATAATATTATACTAATAAATAAATAAAAATTTAATTTATTTATTCAAGTTACATATTTCAACATTTTACAATTTTTATCAAAATATTAATGAGAAAGAAACTTTTGTTTACGTGCTCGTGCTACCGCTCCTCTATTTTCATCCACTGTCAAAGGTCTTATCGGATTTGGTTGGATAGTCTCCGGCTGTGATGATGGTGACGGTGTCGGAGGTGGAGTAGTAACGCGATTTTTCGTTGGACAACAGACTATTGGCTCGTACTGTATAAAACCACATGTGCTACTAGGCGATTTACCGGCCAACAATTCCTGAAAAACTACCTGGCAATCTTGCAAACGCTTGCATACACCTGAATTGCGTGATTTATCGATGGTACATCTCTCTGAAAATCACAGAAGAAGATTAAGTTAGTAATGTAATAAATAATTAAAACTTAGTAATTATGTTGAATATTTTTCATTATTGTAAACGTTAGTGTTGGCCTTTGAAGAAGAAGATTTAAATTAAAATTAAAATGTTTGGAAAAAGTATTATATTATTATAATAAATAAATTTTTATGGAAATATTATTTTATATTGATTTTATATTAATATATGCACTAATCACAATTGATTTGTATTATTAGCCGTTTTTGAATTATTTTTTAATCAGAAAATTTTTCTAAATTTGTACTTAACAGTTACACACACACACACACACATACACACCCATTCTCTTTCTCAATTATTCCATTTCTCTTTAAATAGCATAAAATAATTTTATAGAAATAGATACTTAACAATGTATGATATTTTATTCTTAGATATTTAAAATTATATCACAAAATTGCCAATAGCTATAAAATTATTAACAATTGTTTTTAACGTTTGCGGCATCAAAAAATTAGTTATTGGTCATACAAATTGGATAAAACTATATTTATCTAAATGTATAAATAACACGCATAATGTTTACAGTTGCTTTTTACGCAGTACTTAATTTATTATTTGAAATAATTGATCCAAATTATTGCAAAGTATTTTGTATTTATTTCAAATATTTAAATTTTTATTAAAAAAATTTGAGTTTTTATTTCTTGATCAACATGCCCGTTTTTCTTCAACTTCTCAAAAAATATAAATAAAAGAATATATAAATTTATTCTTAGAAATGCTAGATGGATTAACCTTTCGATCATATTGATAAAGTCATGAATATGCATTGTATATACCATTTAAAATGCAAACTTTTCTTTTTTAATGATAGAGATATTCTTACAAGTATCGCGTTTATTTTCAAATTATTATATCAAATATTAATTTATAGAATGCATCACAGGGAATAACTGTAAAAATAATCGTAGCTTGAAACGTTATCTATTATTAAATAATTTTTTAGTTTATATTTGGAGCAAAATAAATATTAAAAGAGAGTTATAAGAATTAAATCATATAAATAAATAATTATATCTATATAATAATAATTACACGTTAACAATAAAATATTTATGATTATAATTATAAACCAACAATCAAATTTCTTTAATATGCGTGGCATGCATCTTCCATTCAGAATAAAGAATGTGCTTGATTATTATATTCGTGCAAATGAGAATTCTTGTATTTATAGCATCAATACTCACCTCCAATCTCTTGGCCGTATGTCGAAGATAGAATTAATATCAACAATAACGATGAAACGGTCGATATATTGAAGAACATTCTTGAGGATCAACTTTAATCACACAAGCTTCCTGTTTAATCTCAACAAGTCACTTCGACGGAAGATACACCTCGTCTAACTCGTCCATCCACTCTTGGTCATTCCTTACCAATTTTCCTAATCCCCACCAGTCCGACTGGTGGCATGGTGGAGATGGCGGATGATCGTGAGACATTCTCATCATGCATTTCGCGATAAGTTACGATAAGCTAGCGTATAAGATGATGCGCGTTTCCATCTTTGCGTGCGTTTTCAAGGAAGGTCACGTTTCCAAGATGAATTATTCACGTAATTAGTTATCGCGCAAATGATTTGTAACAAAAATCCACGTCTAATTCCGATAAAATCAATTTCCGACGAGGAAAAGTGTGTCTTGTTTCTGTTATTGTGCAGATAAATATATACGTGTAGTGGATATTATTAAGACACATTGTGCAAAGTTCAAACGTCACACACAGCAAGGCCGACTGTGTATCAAGAGGCGGTCGTGTCTTGTGTCAAGTTCATGACGTGTCAGACGGAGCAAGGCCGATTGCGTATATTATTTTGGCGAATATATCAAATTATTAGATTTCAGTAATGTTTGGATTGATTAAGTTCTTAATAAGTTTAATTACTTTATCTCATTTTGCAAATGGAATGGAATATTTTTAATTTTTTGCAATAAGTATTAAAACACTGTAATATTGAAAATGGAAAAAAACAGTAAGTGAATACACATCTATAGTTTTCTTATTTTGTACTATTAATAAAAAACAATTATTATTTTTCGTATTTTTTGGATGCTTAATCTAAATTCAATCACAAAAAATGCGTATTACATCAGAATTTGGATAAAATTAAAAAAAATATATTTTAAAAATAACGTATAGTTATGTTTATAATAATTAAATAGTGTTTTGTATGATGTTCATTATAATCACCTTTCACATTTTTATGTAAAATGTATTATTAATTTAGACATTATATTATCACGTGGAAATTTTTTATTTCTAAATAGCACTATGTATACATATTAAAATAGTTTGTAGCAGTTCAAGATAATTCTATAGCGGTTCTACATATTTCTTGATAGATCAATATTCACGTTAATATGTAGTCAACAGTTTAATACAGCGTAAGACGAATCCAATTCAATTTATCACAGTCGATATTGCTACGGGAAGTTAAATTTAACTTAAGTTATATCTTTTGCCGTTAAATTTAATAAGATCTGTTTACAGTATTATTACGAGCAAGCCACGTGCACGTATTCAGGGATGTAACGTTTGTTCTAAGATTATTTGTATAAGGAAGGAAAAATTAATATGTAAAACTAGCTTAGAAAAATCATAAGAGAAGAAAATAAAAGTTTTTTTTACAAATACAAATTAGTATTTTAAGATAGCAAAGAGATACGAAAAGATTTCTGTTTTATAGGATGTGTTATTTAATCAATACGTTTTGAACACAGTGTTCATAGTGTAAACACTCATGCATTGGTAAAGGTAGAAAAACATAATGCTATTTTCCTATAACATATTTATCTATTATTAAAATGCAGTTCCTACTTATTAGAAACAAACTTAAACATTTTAAGAAGTATATATTTTTTTAAAATATAGAAGAAGATGTAGCGGATACGGCATTGGCTCTACAATTCCGATAATATCATGTTAATGACGTTTTTACTCACGAATTACTAATTGCTAATAAACGACTTTATTACATACAATCTATGTACACTTCGTCATCCATCGTATTTAAGACGAGAATTTGCGTCGACAGTTTTTATTCGAAAAAAGTACTAATACGGCGAGTGTAATCAGAACTGCAATATGTATAGAAAATTCGCAACCGCATTATTTGTTATCGTTTTATTTAAGAATTCCACACCGCGAAAAAGTGAAGAAAGTTAGTTTTAATTTATATTGTTTTATTCGCTATTTGTGATAAGATTTGAAGTAATTGCTTATTTCGAGTATGCACACAAATTGCTTTAATGTACAGTGTAGATTTCATTGTTTCTTTTGATAATAAATTATTTGCTAAATTTTTTATCAATTTGTCACAAGTAGAAATTGAGTAGAAGCTGATTATGGCATTTCTGATTTGTACTTTTAATGTTTTATATTGTAATTATTTACTATAAATTCTATCAAAGGCCAATATTTACTCTTTTCGTTATAATCTACAAATTTTCATAATTTCGCAGAATGTAAGGAATACGCTGCTTTAGTTTATGAAAGCGAGGATTCACCAATTTTGCGTATTAATGCCGGCTCGAATAAAGTTTCTCGTTGCACGATTGTTGAAACGCCTTTAATAGTCGGCGGAGTTCCAGTAAAGCCCGTGGAATTTCCACACATGGTAAGAACAATTATGCGCATTATATTAATCTGAAAAAGAAAATTATATTAAATTTTATAAATTTTTTCATAATAATAATATTTTATTTAATAATTTTATTTTCTTTTACTGTAACGTATAAAAGCGAATGTTCTTTCTATACCTTAATGCCTAACGTATGTTATTTGGAAAATTTGCTGTTACCTGAGTAATATACCTAGATTTTCTTATATTATTTTAATAAATAATCAACAGAGTAGCATTTATTCCATAGACGGTAATCGGTTACGGTAAGGAAGGTGATATATCCTGGCAATGCGGAGGAAGTATTATCTCCGAGAATTTTATTTTGACAGCAGCACATTGTATGGAATCGCCAGACAAGTAATAATTTTGTCTTTACCATTGTGTGTTATCATAATGATATTATTTTACTGTATTATACATTATTTATAAAAAATGGAGAATATTTTTCAGACGTTTAATGTCGAGAAATTTTTAAACCACTGAAACTCAGTGAAAAATTATCGCAAACAAAAAATTGTAAAAGTATCTTAAAGTTTGAAGTTTGTACTTTCATGTATTCTTCTTTTTTATCGAACTGCAGAGTATTGAACATATATAATTTTAAGAACAAAACAATGTGTTCTTTTTTAGAGCTCAGAATTGTACAAATAAAAAATTTTCTAAAATGACTTACAGCACGTAAAAGTACAAGTTTTAAGTTTTAAAATGCTTTTTTAATTTTTCGTCTACAATGATTTTTGGCCGAATATAGCAGTTTGAAACTTGCTAATTTTAAACATCTAAATATCTCAACGCGATAGAATAGTGCGGTCTGCTGGCTGAATGTGCGCCATTACTACGGCATCGTGAAACCTAAGTTTCCAGTTGGATGGGCCAAAAACGCGGCAAGATTTAAGATTTACAGCAGCGGATAGGGCGCGCGAAAGCCTAAGTTTCCAGTCGTATTTTTTATTGACAACAAAACAATGTGTTCTTTTCTCGAGCTCAAAATTGTAAAAAATGACAAATTTTTTAAAATGACTAAAAGCACGTGAAAGTACAAACTTCAAACTTTAAAATCCTTTTTTAATATTTTATCTGTGATGTTTTTTCGCCGAGTTTTAGGTTTGAAAATTGCTCGATTTTGAGCATCTGAAAAATGTTCCCTATTTTTTGTGGAATAGTGTATATAACATTATGAATAAATATTAAAATAAATAAAAAATTATTTTATTATTTGATATTATTTGCGTATATTAGAGGCCCCGCTGCCAAAGTGCGAGTTGGCTTGATCGATTTATCAACGCCGGATGATGTTATGCAAGAGAGGGACATTGTGGAAAGAATTAAACATCCAGACTACAAATCTTCCATTAGGTACCATGATATAGCTTTATTGAGACTTGATCGATCGTTGGAATTGAATTCTCGAGTACGACCCGCATGTCTCGAAGTAAATTCACAAATTCCTGGCAAAAGTGCCATTGCTTCTGGATTTGGAAAAACTTCTTATGGTTAATATCTTCTAAATATCTGATGCATTTTAATATCTTATAAAATAAATTATTGTATATTAATTGATATTATTAATTATTTTTTTTATTATTCGTATTATATTGCTCTTTTACATATCGGGAGATACTATATGACATATTGTACAGAATCTACCATTGGCAGCAACGAATTAATGAAAGTCCAGTTAAATTATATTTCTGAAGATGATTGTAAAAAGAGTTATGCTGATGATATCGGTATTAAGGGAATAATGCCTCAAGGCTTGATACCAAATTTACTTTGTGCTGGCATAATGGAAGGTGGTAAAGATACTTGCCAGGTAACTATATATTTTATATTTCAAATCTAGGTTTTTATTAAAAAATTTTAATTTTTATATATTTTATAATGACGCTTTTATTATATATTAATTTTTTTATTTAGATTTTTGGACATTTTAATCTTTCAAGTATAATCGTCGATTTCATCATATATTTTATTTACTAAAAAGAGTAAAAGATTTGGAGATGTGATAAATAATTTCGTGTTATGTGTAGGGTGACAGCGGTGGTCCATTGCAAAGGATTCTCACAGAACCATATTGCATGTATAGCATCGTGGGTGTGACAAGTTTTGGAAAATTTTGCGCTTTTAAATCTATGCCCGCGATATACACCAGAGTTAGTTCTTATCTTGACTGGATTGAGAATATAGTCTGGTCGTGAATAAAAATATATGTACATTAGTATGTGTGCCAAATTCTAATTTTAATTTCTAACAAGTTCAAAGAATTAATTAATAAAAGATAATGTGTTATGTAAAGTTAGTTTTTATATATTTTTTTCAACTATTTTATTCTCTTGTCTTTTCCTTCTTATCCATTTTTTTCTCCGCCTCTTCTTTTGACATTTTTGCCGTATAAAAGAAAGAACAATCTAAATGATCGCTTGAAATGCTGAAGTCTTCAAAACATTCTATAATCTTGTTCAATAAAAGCATTGATAAGCCATTTATGTATTACACTATAGTTGATTGATATATATGGCATTTATGTAATCATTCAATCATATACTTGACTTCTATAATGCGATTGTATACGAATCATGCATTGTTATCAAAGATTGAACATCAATAAATTACAATTATGCTTTCATTGATCTTAGTATTACCTGAAAACCACCACTTTGAATTAGAAATCAGTAACGAAGTCGCCTTGATACAAGCATGAATATTACAAATATATTACTTGTTTTATCCGGTGCATCGTTTCTGTTCGTAAGTATTTTTATCTATATTATCTGTCACACATTAAAATTTCGAATATTGTAAAATAAATATGCTCTCTATATTTGCAAAAATTAAATAAACTGCGTTTTGAAATAAAAATTTATACATTTTCATGCATATAACTTAAATTTAGTGCAATAATAGAAATCATTTCCGTACCAATTTTATACCTTGACATATTTATAAAATTTACTTTATTTTGCATGTTCGAGTACGAGCGGATATTAAACGAGATTGTCGTCGACAAACAAATGTTACTTGGGGTAAGAATATTTTGTATAATTCGCACAGTAAAAAGAATGCATTTAGCTCTCTTAATTGAATTTTTTAATTCAGAATCCTTAAGACAACTAAAGGCTGGTAACATTGAACAAAATGATATGAAATTAAAATGTTATTTAAGATGTTTTATGATGAAAAGTGGTATTCTTAACAAAGATAACAATATAGATGTTGAAAAAGTTTTGCGATATCTTCCACGTAATATGCAAGAATCATCGAGAAGAACTCTTAACCGATGCAAATCAATTTGTAAGTCTTTTTATTGCATTCAGATACTTTCTCATATAACAATTTACAATTAATTAATATTGCATTTTTATTTCTCTATGCAGAGTAAATGCTAAGTGTTATCACAAAATTTGCAAGCATATCCTACACTTTAAAATTAATAAAAAAATTTTAATAAACATAAATTCCATTATTATTTTTTTTGTAAAATATTTTATAGTATGTAGAACAGAATACGTCGAAAACTTGAAAAGAAACGAAAGTATATTATTGATAATAAACTAATTAGAAAATAAATTTTTAGCAGCTCAAAATGCTTGCGACAAAGCTTTTCAAATAGCTATGTGCTATTTTAAAGAACATCCAGAAGTAAGTATTATAATGTAAATTTTATCCATATTTTCTTATAGAATCATACGTCAATTTCTTATCTATATTTTTATTTAACTCATGCACTTTGTTTGCAGATATTAAAAAATGCACCGATTATTTAAAAATAATTATTTTATGTTTAAATACAACACCAGTTTACGGAAAACATAAATAGGAATAATATATAATAGTATAAAGTAGTCACATATGTAGAAATGTTATTTTATTAAAATTATCAGAGTGTTAACAGAGTGTTCCAATAAAGATAAACAATTTTTTAGAAATGTATAAATTAAATAAAAATTACCCTGTATGTTTATATAAAATTTTTTCTACGTACTTTTGCCAAGATATTTGCCTTTGAAATTCAAATCTAAAAAGCAATTAAAAAAAAAATCATTTTTCTATTTGTTTGATAAATTTTGATGATTTTTGAATTATTTTTATATTAACAAGTCAAAGTGCTGGTAAATAATATTGTAATAAATTTGATTCTATATAAATGCGACACATATTATGTATATATGTATGTATACAAAATATCGTGAAAACAAATTTCGATAAAAAAAATGAATAACCATAGTAACGCGTAGCAGAATATTTACAATATGCAGCAACATGTAAATTTGGCATTCAATATATTTTATCGGAATTTTAAAATTTCTCTTGACTTAAAGAAATTATTCAATTAGAACACATACACTATAATATCATAAAACCATGTGTGATCATTGCGCGTAAGTATCATCTTATTTTTCTATATATCATGCAAAGCAGAGTTTTAATCTCTTTCGTTGCTTCTTATATAAAGAGCAATAATACAAATACCGCAAAATAAATTGAATTCATTGATTGATTAAAAATTTACCAGCAAAGTTACCAGTCAAAAAGGATATGCCGGTCAAGTGACTTGTCGATGTGACAGAAACCAGTAAGTCTTTATACACATGTATTATGGATAGATAAATATGTTTGTTTGTTTATAAGTAGTGTATATGTATGTATTATGATATTACAAATCATGTGAATTATGTTTACAGTGGTGAGAAAAAGAACAGTGCAGTCAATAAAGAAAAGGAATTGACCGGATGTTGTAGCAAAAAGTAAAGAGATTGCAATATTAATTTCAAGTAAAAATTGCGATGTTAATTTGAGATAAAAGTTACTTAAACCTATATGGTCGCCTGGCATCATTATAGTGCCCTTGATGATAATTTAGTGATTTTAACTTGACTGAATGTACAGAGAAAGTAAAGCACGCGAAGGATGTTGCGGCGCTAAATGTTGCGCCGGTACGAAAGAAGAGCATGGTGGATGTTGTAGTAGTGATGTCAGTGTGGATCGGAAAAGCTGCTGTCCAGCAGGAAAATAATTCATGCAATGATTCTACTCAACAAGGTTAAAAAGGCGGCCATATGGGCTATTTTAAATAAATTTGTAAATGAACTTGTCCTATATGTTGTTAAATACATTGTCATAAATTCTATCGAATCAAAGTAATTATTAAATATTTGTTTAACTGTACTTTTATTCTATATTTTAAATTATCTAATCCTATTATACTCTTTTATTTAGAGCAAGAGAAGCAGCCGGCGGTTGCTGTATGTCCGGTTGTTGTAAACAGACTAAAAATGAACAACGCATGACAAATGCAGTAGAAGCGGATCGTACTAGTCAGACAAAAAATACTGTAGAAGGATGCTGTGGCGAAAATCGTAAATAGCTTTGAGAAAAACTTACGTCGTAAATCCTAATTTAAAATTAATATGTTCTATACTACATACACTGCGCGGAACAGAGACAATATTTAAGATCTGTATGCAATATTATTATTTCTTGCTTGCAAAATTGTTGCTCCCAATTTTCAATATATTCTAGCTTAACAGCAAAATTTAAAAGTAATCATTTTTACTTTCAAGACACAATAAATCGGAAATTGAGATGTAAATATAAAATTTTGATATTTTTGCAGAGCAACATAAGAAAAGAGCAATGTGATAAGATAATATATTCTTTTAATTTCTGCAAGGGTTTAACAAATTTGTAGAAATTATACATCACATGTCAACACAAGGCAAACCTACGAGAGATAACGCCAGGAGTAAAATTAAGAAATGATTAAAATTAAACAGACCGGCGTAGAAAGAGAAAGGGAAAGAGAGAGAAAGGGAAAAAGAGAGAGAGAGAGAGAGAAAGAGAGAGAGAGAGAGAGAGAGAGTGATGTCATTAATATAAAACTGACGTAGAAAAAGTCTACGTCATATCCGCGTATATTCGTGCTATAGTGACGCACGTGCAAGAAACGGGGGTGTCTCGAGCAAAAGTTGATAAGGGCAAAAGTGCGTGTGTGTGCGCGCCGGGGATGATGCGGCTTGACGCGGCTCGATGCGGCGCGCAAGCGCTTCGGGTGCAGCCGAGCTTTCGAGCCACGCGATGGTAGCAGTCTACCGTCTAAAACCGCGAAACCACATACCACGTTCTCGAGGAAGAGCGCCACAACGCAGTCCGAGGTCAGACCTCTCTCGTTTATCGTTTTTGTGCGCGTTTCGAGCAAGTATTTAAGAATGCTCGCGATTTTTCATTTTTTTTCTTTCTTTATCACGTTTCTTGGTACTGTCGTTCGTTTACATTCGATACCGACATTTGACAACACAAACTAGATCACGACAGTTATCTCAGCAGCATCACTATTGCCTCGAATGTTGTGACATAGTGCATGTAGTGCAAATCGATTGAATACCGACGATCGGGAGAAACCGTGACCTTGAAAGTTCACGTGCAAGCGGGACGTGACAGATTAGGAAGCAATTAACGCGCGTTATCCAGCAATGCCACGCTAATGAAGAACAACCGTGGTACTCGCGTATCTTCTTTGACAGAAGAATGGACAATCGGTTTACAATGTGCAAAAGGTATATAGTGGTACGCACAATATCACGTTTCGATCCTTATTTAATCGTCCTACTATTGTCGCTTTTGTAGTTTTGGAAACGCTTTCCTTCGTTTTAGCAGATTGAACAAAACACAAGTTTATATAAGTTTTATTTTCAATTGTACTAATGTGTTGACTGTATTCTATGTTTAATTAAAATAGCTACAAACTTCGTAAAACTCACTTCCATTAATGGTGTGAGAAGGAATTTTCTTATGCGTGTGTAGAATCAGTATTACTTACTAACATTAAATTTTATTCCGATATTTAAACATTATTCTGAAAATCAATTATTGAATATCTCGAATATAAATTCAACTTAATATTTTATCCAACCCAATATTTTTAATTCTCGAATATTTATTCCGTTATTTGGTTAATTCAAGCTTTTGTCTAAACTCCTTGACAAATATTTTCCATATATTTACAAAATTATGTGTTATATAAAAAGGATTAAGGATTTAACAATACACGGTAAAATGCTACAAAATATCGTGGTAAATGAAATTAATTCCGCCGATGTGCACACTTTATGCATGATACTTTAACGTTAAAAACACTTTAAACAACATTGTTGTCTTTTTATTTCATTTAGTATACTCGATTGCGAAAAGCATATTGTAACATTTTCAATTATTTAAGGGGCTGAAATTCATGGCTTATCGATGTGACAAAGATAGAAAGAAATATCTATCTTAAGACGAGATAATATTATCGAAGATTGCAAGCTTATAGAAGGAGCATTCGCTATTCAATAAAAAATTATAAAGATCAATAAATTTCATATATCTCTTTGCTAAGTAGATTGAATAGATTGATTAATACAAAATATCGCATATAAAGTATAATACTACTAAATAAAAAATAATATTCTAATATTATGCTTCTTTTCGTCCTGTTATGAAAATACAGCTTCAAAAAAGTAAGTTTGTGTGCTATTAAAAATTTTAAAGTGTTAACATTTCATAGTATAATATTAAACTAAAATAATACCTTCATCATATTGGCGCGCTTATATAAATTACATTTTATAATTCGCAACTTTAATCACGCGTTTCTAACATTAAAGCGGAGATTGTTTAATCAGTCAGTACCGGTGTCAGTACCGGTGAAGAATTGCCTCGTTATAAAACGGAATAATCAGATAATTCGTTAACATATTTTTTTTATTTATTGCATTATTAAACTTTCGCATGTGATGCGAGTTGAAAGCGTAAATCAAATATTATTGAAAATTTCAGATTAAATTCCAGTATTCTATTTAATGTGACTTTTAGTATTAGATCTAGCAGCAAAAATAATCAGAAATTGTAAATACAAATTATTCCGCATATCAATATATCATATTGTGATACACAATTTATTTTTACTACGTTATCAAAATAATTTAGTGTAAATATTTATCTAAACAGAATAGATTATATAAATATATTTTTGTAAAAAATAACTGAATTTTATACGTGTAGAATAAATAAAAATATCTAGAGAGACAAATGATAATAGACTATTGACACCTACTAACTTCCGGCTTACACGATTATCACTTAACTAATCTTATGTAATTTTGCAATTGGTCGTGACGGGGTCACAAATGCGAATACGATCAAGCCTTGTAAAATAGATTCCTTCTGCCTCTGACTCGACGAAGTTAATTCACATTATCATATAAATCATTCCGGTGGTGAACAGAAAGAGAGAAAAAGAAAGAGAGGGAGAGAGTGAGAGAGCAATATTTTATATATATATATCTATTTGATATGTACGAAATTGTACAATGTTTATTTTCTTTAGTATAGTCTTAATTAATTGTTAATAAAAGCACTTGAATAAATATGAATATTTTATTTAAAAAGTTATTTTGCAAATGTAATAATTAAACAATTTAAGAAACATTACTGTCATGTCATTATGTTGCAAAATATTAACGTTTTATCTTCCGATCTTTTCTTTCGATTTCTCGCTTTTTTGCTCTTGGTATCTTCTTTTATTCTCTCGATCAGTAAGTTATCTTTATCCTCTCTTGAGCCCTCTATCGCAATTTCGCAAGTTTCCAAAGAAAATGGAAAGAAATCACACATTGATCTAACTCAACTTTTATAAAGAAACGTAATATAAGGATTTGTTCTTTGAAAGAAACACATTCTTCATTATAACTGCGCATTTATAGCGTAGCGGAATTCCGTTTACCGACAAAATATTGAAAAATTATTAATTAAAAATATTTAATTCACATTTGAGTCTCATTTCTTAAAAGTAATGTGAGTATTGAACATCTTAGAAAGAGCAGATATTTTTGTTCTACCATTCTAGAAAAAATGTGTTTTTCATTAATAAGCTGCCTGTCTTAGGAAAGTTATTTTTTGTAATACTATGCATATCGATCGCCATTGGTACTGTTCATCCGTAATGACCAAGTTCAACGGCGGCCTTCTCCAACAACTATGTGTAAAATCGAGTATATAATACACTGCTAAAACGAGGGAGGTCGCAAAGAGACGCAAAAGTGCGGGGTCAAAGATGATTGTGATAATCACTTGATGATGAATATCTATAAATAAATATAGCCAGTGAGAAAATGGTTTATAATGTGCTGAAAGAAAATATCAAAGTTTTTTCAAACCATTTACTCGTGGCTAATATAAAATTTAAGTTTGTTTAGCGAATATAATTGTAATACAGTTACTGGAAATAGAGATACTTTGCAAGAAAAAAAGCATTTGACCAAGAGATACAGAATTTAACGTAATAAGAGTAAAATTGTTTGATTCGTGAACTTTTATATCTCATTTTTCTCATTCTCAAGTACTTTCTTTAGAAGATAAACTTACTTCTACGAATCCAATTACTTGTTTCAGATGTACAAAAGAAAGGTAATCCTAGTCGGATAAAAATACTGATGGAAGCAGGAGAAATTTAAACTTTTGACATTATTCCTCAATTATGCTGTATTCTTTATACATTACCTTAACATCTCAATCAAGGGGAACACATTGTGCCAAACACTACTATCTATTAAACAAACATACGACAAATATTAACGGAGTCTGAATTTTATAAGATATGATTAAATCATAAAATGACGAAAATTTAAAGATTGATCAAATATTAAACTATTTCTTCAGAATATTTTACGTGACAATCTGGCGAGTGTAAAAGTATATTTTCGGAATTATAATGATTCGTGGCATCTTAGCGAAACAAGATGAGCGATCGAGCGAAAATGAGAATTCACAAAAGTACAAACGCAATATCGACGCTCTGACATCTCGCCATTTAACTGCAAGAATTGAGAACATCGAGATTATCTCGAGCAATCGCACGTCAGGGTGATTGCGGACGAAAGACCGTCCGTAGTGGCAGAGCTGCGCACGGCGAACGACATGAACGACAGCGAGATCTATTTATTGAACTGGGACGAAGAGCACGCACTGAATAACGATTTCGGCAGAAGTTTCTACAACGCTAGTTATCCGCCGTTCAATCGCACGTACGAAGATCCCGAATCTCTCTGGGATCTCGCTACAGATCGAATTGGTCTCGCGATTGTCCTGCTGCTCTTTTCCGTAGCCACCGTTTTCGGCAATTCGTTGGTGATCCTCGCGGTATTTCGCGAAAGACACCTTCACACAGCTACAAATTACTTCGTAACTTCGTTGGCCTGCGCCGATTGTCTAGTGGGTCTAGTAGTGATGCCTATTAGTGCGGTGTACGAAGTGCTGGAGAACCGTTGGCTGTTCACAACAGACTGGTGCGATGTTTGGCGCTCGCTGGATGTTCTCTTCTCCACCGCGTCTATCCTGAATTTGTGCGTCATCAGCTTGGACCGTTATTGGGCGATCACCGATCCGTTCACATACCCGATGCGAATGAGTAGAAGACGCGCGGTCATTCTAATCGCTATTGTGTGGATCTGCTCGAGCGCGATTTCCTTCCCCGCGATAGCGTGGTGGCGTGCCGTGCGAACCGAGCAAGTGCCGGAAAACAAGTGCCCCTTCACGGAAAATCTCGGTTACCTGATATTCTCGTCGACAATCAGCTTTTATCTGCCGCTGTTCGTGATGGTTTTCACGTATTACAGAATCTATCGTGCCGCCGTGATACAGACGAGGAGTCTGAAGCTCGGCACGAAGCAGGTGATGATGGCGTCGGGCGAGCTCGAACTTACGTTGAGGATACATCGAGGCGGTACTACCAACACCGATGCCAAGCACCTGTTTCGCACCGCCTCGAGTACACCCGAAGATCTTCAAGATCTGGAAGAACCATTAACGGCTCTTCACAATAATGGTCTCACTAGAGTACCTTCCACGCGGATCAACAAGCAGCATTTGGGCACGAAAAATTTCTCCCTCTCGCGTAAGCTCGCCAAATTTGCCAAGGAGAAAAAAGCGGCGAAAACCCTCGGTATCGTTATGGGTGTTTTCATCATTTGCTGGCTGCCGTTCTTCGTTGTGAATCTATGGTCAGGATTTTGCACAAGATGTATATGGCAGGAAGAAATCGTATCTGCAGCCGTCACTTGGCTCGGCTGGATTAATAGCGGAATGAATCCCGTGATATATGCTTGCTGGAGCAGAGACTTTCGTAGGTGAGTCTTTTTACATCATTCAGTGTTAATAAGTCTCTTTCATAGTAATATTTCTTTATGCTAAGGCTAAATTTGGAAAAACATATCCTTGATTTTTTCCCATTTTTTATCATTGTCTATCACATTGACATAAGAAATATTAATGTAAAGTACATTATCAAATTTAATATTATTTTTACATCCGTTTCTTATATTATATATGTACAGCAAATATAATGCGACAGTAATGCTACGGTAATACGCATTACGTCGGTATAATCATCGTGCACGTCAGTCTATATTTTGTCTATAGTTTGCTATCTATTAGTACATTATTATAGTTATTTATCTGATCGTTACCGTATCTTGATGTAAATATCGATTTTATTTCTTACAACTTCGTCATAACTACGCAACCAAACTGAGTACTTATCAAACGAACTAACATTGAGAAAGACAACAATTTTTGAAGAGAGAAAGAATATTACGAGAAGGAATTTTTGCGAGATTGTAAATCGATTTTAAATCAACTCCCGTTTTCTCCTTTTAAAACATCTTCTATAAGGTATAGTGAAGTGTATATATACGACAGGGATTTTCCGTAAAGACAGCGAAAGAGAGAGTTTAGCTAGCGTGGATTGTGGGTGGATTAGGCAGAGATCCTTTAGTAAATTACTTTTATTTGTCCGCGCCCAAAATGAGCTTAAAGTTTCAGGAACAAGCGTACATCCAATTATTTTCTTTCTTCGTCTCCTCAAGTGCAACTGGAACGTAACATTCGCGAAAAACATTCTTTGTCTTAAATATTTCTTTCATTTAATAACAACTCAATTCTTAAATTGGAGGATTCGAAATTTTCTTATTCTCTGTGAATGATCTTATTCTAAATTAAATTAATTCTCGAGGAGATTCGTATAAAATCTCACTGTTTGAACTTTTGCCATATAGACACGATTCCAAGTTAATGAGCTGCAAAAACATTTTATGATTTTATTTAAAAAGGTAAATTATTCATAAAGGTTACCAATATTGTGATACTTGACGGATTTTCGGAATAAGATATATAAGAAATTTTAGTAATAAAAGATTATATACGCTTCTACAAACGAATTAACGAGCTGATTTGTCTCACAATGTAGACACACGTACTCGTATGCTAAATCGTAAATCGGAGCAAATTACACTACTTGACGGGGGCGATATAACGCTGACGTTGAATAGAGCCGATACGGTTTGGCTGACGCCAAACGACGTTGTGTACGGCAATCCCACGTGTAACTATCACGCTTCACGGGTATTTACTCCACGTATACAGGTAAATGTAAAATCAATAGACCGCGTGCTTTCTTTATGGTATACAGGGCTGTGAGGGCCTATCTTCTAGGTCGTAAAATGGATAGTTCGATCGCTGTGAACGAGCGGATATTAATAAAGATATAATTGCAACTTTGTATAGAAAAGAAAGACGATCTAAAAGATACGGAGTTCAACAATAGCAGTGAAAGTAATAAAAATAATAACTTAGTGATTCCATTACTCATCGATAAAAATATAGCTTTTCTAGTAGTTGGACGAATGATTCACGGTGATCGTATCGCATTAAACCGTGTTTTCTAAAACGCCTCCACCCTGAGTTAATTATAATCGCGCCGTTTAAACAAAATCTAGACAATTCTTTTTTTAATATCTTTAGTATCCAAAGTAAAATTACAAGTATATAAGTAGCACAAAGAATAGAAAGAAATCTTTATTAAAAACGATAAACTGATACGATTTGTTTGAACTAGATTTTTTCCAAATTATAACAATTCTGTTCCGCTTCAACTGGAATGGTATGGATTCTTCCAAAATAACACGTATTTGATGCGTAAAATATTTTTTATCACGACAAAATATAAAAAAAGTAGGAAAAATTAACTTGTGAGTAAAAAAATATGTAAATAATGCAAAAACTCAGGAATTATCGATTGCATCCGTATCGTTTCAATATTATCTGAAACGATAAGAACTTTCAAGCATAGAACGTATGGACTGGTCGCAAACAAAAGCAGCATTACTTTGAAATCGAGAGAGTAATCTGCCTCTGAGTTCGTAAAATCTAAAATTTCACATTTCGGGCTTTTATTTCGCATTGTATCGCGTGGATTATTTCATCTCTGTCAGCGCTACTTTGTCCTATGTTTTTGTAAGCTGACACTGCGTACATGTATTTTAAATTTTGCACAAATTCTTTTTATTAAGCCTATACGTATATAGATATTTTGCAATAGATGCCGAGATTAAGAAAATTTTTTTTTAAGGAAAATGTCGATGTAAAATTCAAGAAAAATGAGTGTCAGTGTAAAAAAATACAAATCGAGATTCGTATCAGAGTTTAAAAGAGCGGCGGAAGGAAGGCAAGTAATAACGTTCTATTAGCTGGTGGACCGAGCAAAACCAGGTCACCGATCTCATAAAGAGATTTCGAATTCAAGGACGGCCGATTTTCCGTCGCTGTTTTGCAAATAATCGGCGTCATCAATGTTCCTTGAATCTATTCCGTCCCTTTTTTTATCCAGGATCTGATACGCCGTTATAAATCGAGCGTGTGCTAGCGATAGTAAGGAATAAAGGCTCGAGATTTAAACGAAAATAGGCACAATATAATCTCGCTGCTAATTACATTGATTAATAATCTTGTATTTTGACTTTTGGTCGGAGAAAAATTATTATATAATAGTAAGGAATATATATAGTTTATTTTTATAGGTTGAATATAACTGCACTATTATATATATGCCTACTCACTAACTGATATTCTTTACAAAATCAATCTAATCTATAGTGCTAAATAAATACACATAAATTCATATCATCATATTTTTATGTAGATTATAAACAAAAATGTGTCAAGATCTTGCTAAGTAATTGACTTTTCTTAACAAGTCTTTTCGTGATCGACGATGCAGAATGACCATGTGTGTCGCGAAAAAAATAAATAAAAATGAAAGCGTGACCCATACAAATGGCGCAGTGCATAGTTGCCAAAATCTGGATTCAACATCGTCGAGACGTCGTGTCGCCTCGTATCCGGCGCCAAACAGTCTATATATTTTGTCGTTATTCGTTACTAAAAACGGGGAGATTTGCCTGACTAAAAGCAATAAAAGAGAGCGAGAGAGAAAGAAAAAGAGGGAAAGAGGAGGGAGAAGGGGCGAGAGAGGGAAAGCCAGGAATGAAGGGTGGAAGAAGGTAAGATTACGAGATTAGGCTTGGTAAGCCATAGTCGTAAATTTGCAAGGTTCATCCCCTCCCCATTTCTCTTTCTATGGCTCTTTAGTACTATACTCCTTTTTCTTAACTCCGTTATCTTTATATGTTCCGCAAGCTTCAATTCGATTCGAGACGCGGATTTTTGTATCATAGAAGACTTGATTAAATTAACATTTTAAAATACAATAAATTTTATTTTGTGTTTTATAAGAATAATATTTTTCTGAATTTCCAAATTTTAATATCAGATTCAAATGCATATACAGGAAGTTATAACATTCTAAAATACTTCTCGCGCTCGGAAATTTTAACAAGCCTACTTAATATTCGTTGTAATGACATAGTCATCACAATTTCCAGTTCGATACATCGCACACTATGATTCAATTGCATTCCGATAGAAATGTATTTTGCGCACGTTTCACCGTCATTAGAACGTAAACTCAATGGCAATAGCTGATTACACGAGCATCGGGCCAATCGGTCGAACGGACCTTTCGTCCGCAGATTGAATCGTTTTGTCGCTGATGTATCAACCCGATGACCGGAAATCACTCTTCGATTAGTTCTAATTAACAACGCTATATTGCTTTTTAACTCTTTCGTTCACACAAAAGTTTACAGAACGACATAATCACGCCGTAATACAACTAGCACTTCGTATAATCAATCACTCGATAATTCTATAAATTAAAAGAATAAAGAATTAACTTGTTTCTCTTTTCCATTCGCTTTCTCGTATTAGTTAAAAAAGCTACTTCTCGTGCAATTAATATGTTAATATTAATTGGCACCTTGCAAAGTGCAACATACTTTTTTCCATTCTTTTTACGGTGTATATAAATTAAAGTACAGTCAATAATGCGGGCCAGTAAATCTTGGTATTGACATAATATACTTCTAAAAGTTTTGCTTCCATTAGCAAACTAAACAGAAGAGTTTAATGAAATTAGCTCGAAACTTTTCAAATTAACTCACTGCGAGATTGTTTTATCTGAGAGACGTGGTTAAATATTCTATGGAATCTCAATAGACTTATTATGGACGGTTAATAAATCGAGATAAATGTCACTGAAGGAGGAAATCTTTCTGCGAGATATGATAAAATTATTCTTAAAAAGCTATTCTTATCAACCATTAGTAAAATGCCATATAATATTTAAATAAAGAATATAAAATATCTAAAAAATGCTTTCTATTAAATAAAATTATAAATAGATTTTTATCTCGGTTTACTTGTAGAAAAATATTAAAAAATTAATTTACAAAAGTATTTTGGACGGATAAAAAATAACTTCTATAATTAATAGACAGCATCCACCGAGGTATCCTGTGATCAAGAGAAGAAAAGCAGGCGCGAGATCATCGAGCTCAACATTGGAATTGCTAGACTCATCTTGATCTGCATTATTACTTGTGTTCCATGATACCATGTTCGTCCAAAATTCAACAAGACCAGCTTGAACGAGTACTTGAATCTTGAAATTAAATTCGTCCAAGTACGGAAAATCTTTCCAAGTGGCAAGAGCTAATGGATAAGTGCCGACAGTTTCTTTTATAATATGAGCGTATTCTTGAGTGGACTTGTTAGCATCCGTCAAATTCAACATCACGAGAAGAGCTAAAGTGTCGTTTTTTCCTTGCATGAGATCCTGAAGCTGATTAATATAATCATACTGATTGAAAGTGATAAAATTCTCATGAAGCATGTGCACAATGTAGCTGTCTTTATCAGTATTGTCAGGCGTTTTTAATAAATGCTCGAATCTCTCGGTCCCGCCAATTTGTAGCCCCGAATTGATTAACTCTTCCATAGTTTCCATTTGAAGATCTGCCGCGGACGTGAGTTGCTCAGCCAGCGAACCCAAATAAAGTTGCGTGAGAAAAAAGCCAAAAAAGGCCCAAAATATAAATTTAATTCTGCTGGAAATTTTTGTTGGCTGACGGGTTGCCACACCGAAAATCAATGCCGCAATGTCTAAAAACGAAATATCGTGAAATAAAAATAGCTTTACGAGTCCACCGATGATCAATGTGCAGATTATGGCGTACCAAACGTTTTTGGTGAACGGAGCTATTAAACCGCGTAGAGAAACGTTCGATTTAATCGGTATCATCCACGTGATACGCACAATACCGTAAGAAGTCGTGTATTCCGTTTTTCGTTGGGAATAACCAAGAGAGCACAGGAGACCACCGAATACCAAGTCATCAGTCGCGTTGTAAAGTCTTATACGTAGCTCGTCATCGATTGTACTGTTATTCGTCCACTCAATCATCTGCCTGTTAAGTCCGATTTTCATGCTATTCGCAATTTCTTCCACCATCATGCCTTCAACTCCGCCGAATTTCAAAGAGCCTGTGCTCTTGGAAAATATGCGAATGGAAAATTATCAAAATCGCTGCGCTGACGACACGAGAGTTGGTCGATTGCATTTTATTCGTGAAATATCGCCATCGGACTGCAATGGTTTCTTGTTCACATCTGCCGCGAAGTGCTGACTCGGCAGGTACGTACGATCGTTGATTCGGACCGGAAGGCTGTCGGCGAGTAGAATCGAATCATTCACTGGCGCTAATATTACGAGCTTGAATATCGATCGCTGCCACATTTGTAGCACCAGCGTGTTGGCTTCTGTTAGAAAACTCTCTTCGTTAGTGAATGAATTCGTTAGCGCTATTACAAAATCGCCATCAAGCTGATAGGAATCCGTAAAGGAAAAATTGTTTCTTTCGAGAGCAATTGCGCTCTCTGTTAGAATGACAGCGTTTGCCGAAATATCATATGTTTCCATCATGTCCACTTGTTCCAAGGTTAATGTGTAAATAGCGATGTCTGTACGCAGTTCTTTCATGAACGGTTCTATGAGATCAGAAGTATCTTGCAAGTCGTTCGGTAGTAAAAGCGATATTCGGTCCGCATCTTCATAATATTCATCGATGAACGTCGTCGTACAAGAGATTAAACCCGATGATTTATCTCGCTGATTTTGACGTGCCACAAGATTCTTCAAAATAATAGATTGTTCAGTCATAAGCTGTAACGGTACTACAATGCTAACAGCGGTGGATATCAAAGTAATAAAAAAAAGACGATGTAGACAGCCTTGTGACCGATTAAAGTCAAGCAAATTCAATTTAACGTTATCCATGTTATTTCTCAGCACTTGTCACATTCATTGCGCAAACTGCAACTCAACTGTTTTAAAATGCAGCATTCGCATATTATATTACTCGTATATATTTGATCTATGAAAACGTAAAAGTCCAATTTAAATAATGATAGGATCAAAGAGTGTAAATATCATATAATATCGTTCGTACGATCACAGAAAGAAACGATCTGTTTATTAACCACTTAGTAATATGAACTATTCATGCATATTACATTATATATACAGGATGTTTCAGAGAAAAAAGTAATTAAATTTAGAAGGAAATAACGTAGATTATTTTAAGAAAAGTTCACGTAGACAGATGTTTTATTTGCAAACAGTTTCCTAGAGAGAGCTATTTAATGCATAGTTGCAAAAGTTTTAACAAAAAAGAGATATTATTGTTTCTAATATTTAATATTTAAATGACAAATATGTTATAATAAATTTTTAAAGCCAATAAACGCTAACAGAGTTAGATCTAGCGAAAGTTTTGATGGTATTGCTATGACCGATTTACTGGAAAAATTTTTTTTATTCATTTATTTATTTTGTTGATATGCTCGTTCAGATGAAACATGAAAGTACACCACACATATTTACACAATATATAAAAAATCTTGAAAAACAAAAAACACCTTTTGATCCGGAATTTTTCAATTTTTAGAAAACTGTTGACGGCATTCTTTTCAATGGCAGCAATAACACTATCATTGCAAAAACCATAAAAAAACATAGTAAATTTATACGTTTATGAAGATGTAGGGCATTTTTGATAACATTTCTATAAATGTAAATTTTTTTGCATCGTAACATTGAAAGGATGCAGTATATATGCGATATTGACCGTTTGTCACACATTTTCATCACCGTAGCCTTTATGTAAAGATTCGTACATATGATACTTAAAAAAATAACGGTCATGCAATCTTGACATTAAACTACACTTAGCGTCACGATATTATGCGTGATATTGCATAAACGCACTTGTCTGTAATGTACTTGTTTGCACAGCCTAAATCTGATTAATATATTAATTCCATGGCTGAATAAAAAAAAAACAGAAACTTATCTAAATTAATATTTTTTTATTACGATTTTGCCATATTGTTTGCAATTTGACTAAAGTTAGATAATATATTATATTTTTTCGTTTCAGAGCTTTCGTCAGAATTCTATGTTACTGTTGTCCAAGACGAATGAAACGACGGTATCAACCAGCATTTAGGTGTAAACCAAGTCAGGTAAGTCTAACAATATATATATAAGTTACTTTAATAGTACTATATATTACTTTTTCATAAATATTTTTAATTCAAAGTAGAAATTGGCCTGTTAAATTGCGATATATTATATTGATATCTAATCGTAGGACTAATTTGTAATTTGGATTCCTTTACCTTTACATTTAACTTAATTTAGAATAATCTTTCCTGAATCATTCCTAAATTCTAAATAAAACAATCATATTAATTGCATTCAACAATTATGCCTTGTTGGTCACCGGTGATTATCATAAACGGAAAGTCCAGTTCCGGTCATCGGTGACCGCGATAAATGTGTTAATAAATACTGAGTTGGAGAAAAAAAAAAGAAGGGAGGAAAGATAATCATCATCATTCTTCGAGAGGAATTCTGGTGCTCCTGTGATGGTATCGCGTAATAAACGCGCACCGTACGGTAATAACATTTTTTTCAGGTCATTTTAAGACAATCCTAATATCGAAACATCAAAGCTACAATAATTTTTAAATAAAAGGCATTTAAAAAGTGAATCAATCAGATTGCTACAAATTTGCGCGCTCAGGCATGGTACATTACACAGTATATGTATGTGTATAAAATATTTAAATTATCTAAAATATTTAATTAATCTCTTTAATATTTTTTCGTAATATATATACGAAAGAAAGTGTATAATAAAGTGCTGCACTGTACAAATCTATGAAAAATGTAGCGTAATTTGCAGTGAGAGTTTTATAAATCTGACACGGTAACGAACATTTCTACATTGATAGATATTCCCTTCGTGTAACATTAATCTATTCGTTATGCTAATTAGTAATTTTTTTTAATAAAAATATTTAGAAAACACGATACATTTGTATTGTTTTCGATTGAAAACGCTGATGTGTTATAGTGTAACAGCAGCATATATCGCATTCGGAGAACGAGAGTAAAATGGGAATGTTGAACGGAGCAACGCTTCATATCACAATCTTATTAATAATTCGGAAGACAGGATACTATTAACGTTTATCACTAGGTACGGGCACGTGTATCCAGTATATTACTTTTTTCAGAAATTCGCATCCGGACGATACTACTCCGCGTATTCGCTCCATCACATACGAGGATGTCGAGAAAATTCCAGCGACCAAACCTACATTTAACAACGGAATATCATCGCGAGCTGGTCGTCGATTGTTGATAGTTGGAATTCCTCGAAGCCTTTTTTCTATTTTCATCTCTACCATTTCCCTCTTGTCCTTAGAGCAATAGATCAAGCAATATAGCAATTAGTTTTGCAAGCCATCACGATTCTATCTGATTCCCAAATCCTTATGTATCAGAGATCAACGAACATCAACGAATATCAACACATTCCCATAGAATATAGATTCTCGGTACGTGACTAGTAAATGTCAACTTAAATACGCACTTGCACATAACACTGTTCGTTACCTAAAAAAATGCACTTTTTTAATATAGGCACTCTCATTACTTATCTTTTGGTATGATTGTTTTGAAAGGCTATCCTTTTCACATTATGCAAATGCTCCTTCACATTCTGTTTAATTTTTGATTATTCATATATCATTCCGGATAAAATATAAAAACAAAAAAATCTGAATAAACTTTTAATTCAATAATCTACATATAAATACTTTTGCGTGGCTGTATTGCTAAAACGACAGAAATACGAAATATAGGATTTAAAAAAAAAGGAGTGAGAAAAGACAAAAAATACGGAACACTATTTGACTTTAGGGAATTGAACTCTGATAGAATGAACGAGAAAACTCTGATACAGTTACTATCCCGAGAGATAGGAGAGACGGAAAGTAAAAATAAGTGTAGAAAATTTTAAATCCTAAATTTTAATCCTTCTTCCATAAATAATTGCGCGAAATATATACAACATCTCGATCTTTTACATTTTAAATATTTGCAAAACAAACTCTTTTCTAATGAGAATTGTTAATTATATCAGTAAAAATATCGATCAAAGTATGAACTATATTTGTCTTGAAAAAATATAAAGATAATTTTGGAGAAGTCGGCAAAGTATGCAAACACGATCAAAAGAAATGTAACGTCTATTCGATTTAGCCTACTCAGCCTACTTTATCTATTTTATCGGTAAACCTGAAATTTTTCACTCAACTCTCGTTCACATTTACGATAGCATTTTTCTCACGGCTGGCTGAATATTGAATTATTTGCTTTACGGCCAAGAGCTATCGAAAAACCGTTTAACTACCTAAACCAACCCTCTCTTCATTCAACCTGGGGTTGTCTCTTCGACCGCACTATTCGCATGATTCGGCGCAAAGCCGTGTATACACAGGCGAGCGTGAAGTGTAAAGCTTGTCGCTGATCCGTGGCGACCTTTAAAGGGAAGCAACGAGCGCGGAGAGATTGGTTGCGTTTGAAGCAAACCCGATGGATCGATTGTACCTAGGACGACGACAGGAGAGCTCATCAAATAAAAGTACGCGATTGACTTCCGCAGAAACAAACAACCGGCGACAGTTGTTTTATAAAAAAGTGCCTAAGACAGATATTTATAGTCGTAAATAATTTTCAACCTTTGATATGAGAGTGTAATTAATTACTGATTCATAGGTCGTTTGTCCAAATACTTGAATTAATATTTTATGAATATCTTACTCATTTTTATTTGCAAAAGATCTGTTATTACATATTTAGATTTCATAATATTATTTATAGTAGATATCCTTCAGTATATCCGCCTTCAGCCTATTGTCGGTTACAGTAAAAATCCTCAAAGTTCCTCAGATACCCGTATGACACGAGAACCCGCATTACGTGTATTAGCACTGCACAAGTATGCATACTATACGGATATGATTTGTTTTACCCGTCGAAATTAAGATCTCATTAGGATCTTTGAATTATCCCTTTCAAAAGATAATTATATTATGAAAACAAAAAATATCAAGCTTCGACTATCAATAATATATTTCTCCCTAAAAACTCACATCAATCCTTGGAATAAAAAACGAAAGATGTATTGATACAAGAGCAGAAAATTTGATAATAAGATTCGCACGGAAGAATCAAAATATGTAGAGTTATATGTAAAATTTTTTCATATTAAAACTCCAATCTTATGTTTTTCCAATCGAAGGATCGATATGTATATTTTTAGAGAAATGAAAAAATATTATAAATGTGTAAAATATGTTATTTCGATTTTTATAATAATGAATGTTAATAAATTATTTGTGATAAATGCGAAAACAATAATTTTGTTTCAGTATATTTCCGGAATGGGAACGGGAGGACAAGCAAGTAATGTGAGCTATAGCAGCGTCAGCCAGAGTAGCGACGGCGGTATATGTCTGACCGGAAATGGGCCCTCCGGAGGTGGTATGTGACGTCACACATCGGCTCGATCAGGGCCACGTCGAGAACGCGCGATTCGATTCCGCGATGCATAATTAAAAACATAATTGAAGTGTTAATTTTCAAGAGAGAGACTAACAGAATTGTTCTGCGCAATTCACAATCAGCTTTGTGCCTGAAAAAATGTCAAGAAGAAACTTTTGAAACGTGTGAAACATTCTAAAATGTTTTTAAACTATCCGGTTTATCGCCGCGAGACAGTGCTGTTACGGAAATAAGAACAATGTGAGCAACGTAAAGACATCTATATAAGTGAATAAAGACTGCAAAATATTTACGAAAACACGTACTTAATAGTAAATTAACTAGTTTGTAATTAGTTTTTAAATAAGTAGTTTTAAAAATCGCCATGATTTGAAAAAATTGTTAAACTTTTGTTTGCATACACACGGTGTGTTATTAATATCTTCTATTTCCGGTTGGGCATTTTCGGGATATCCGGAGTGTACCGTGTCTGAATAGTTGCATTTAATTAGTTTTGTTAAATACATCAGTCAGATACATGAGTATGTATCAATGTTACCTCTAATTAATCAAATGTTTATGAAACCGTTCAAATTGTTTATAGAATTATAATGTGAAAATTAATAATCGATGTAAATTAACGCAACAATTGTTAGCAGGATTAATTATCTGATATCATTGATATAAGATAATTGTATAAGACCAAACTAGACATCTGCGATAAATTGATAGGCTCTGCTACTTGGCAATTTATTTGATGACGAGAAAAATAAAAAAAAATAAAAGCATGCGCACACACATATACATAGTTGAATGTAAATGCAAATAACAAATATACACACAAGAGGTAATCTCGATGAGAGAAAATGAATATTTTCCAGGCAATGTTTTCATCGCGTCTCTGAATAAACTAGAGAACATACATATTATATACATATACAAATAGTCTTGCAAAAAAGAGAAACCAGTCGTGTATGTTAAATATTGAAGATAGAAAAAAAGTAAAAGAAAAAAATATTTTGTTTTTGATATTTAAATCCATTGTACTTTATTTCATGTTAGAATAAAAGAATCGTTCTTTGAATTTAGATATTCATAAATAATCAATTGTTAGATATGTATTATATATTAAATATTCTTATAAAAAAAAATAATTATTAATTTCTAACTATAAAATACAATCACAAATTTATTCTAAAATATATATTCTAATACTTTTATTTTTTTTAAATACAAATTTGTAAAGGTTGGTAAAATTTACTTTTTCCAAATTAATAAAAAATACTTTATAAATTCAGGAATATTACTTATCATCAAGAAAAACTAATTTGATTTCTGCCGACACACACAATAGGGACCAAAAGTTTTAACTACTACTTTTTTCCTATCATCGATATCTTTTCGAAATACACACAGGACTTGTTCGCTTTTCGTACATAAAATATTTCAGAGAAGTCTACTCGAAGAATAATGTTCATATTCATCATGTATATTTGTTATACATGGAATCTATCGACGATGTTTTTTAATTCTCAAACTTTATTATATCTGTATAATATTTTATCAAATTGTTACACGCATGCAATCATTAATTGAAAAATACGAATCACATTAATTATGGATCACATGTTAAAATATTAGAAAAATCGTTCAAGTTTAATAGATTGTTATATTACTTATCCAAATATCTGCGTAAAAAACTGCGTAAAAAACAGACATAATTCTCTGATCAATTTAAATAAGATAAACTTTAAATTTTTATGTTTATTAGTTCTAACAAACAATTATGTACTGTAATACTTATGGACAAATTTGATAAAAAAAATCATTACCATCCAGCTCAAATTATTAATATACATTAACAACACTTAAATAAATATTCGTGCAAAATTTAATTAAAATATACTGACCGATTTAGGGATGCTGAAGTTCTGTTTTATCGACTTTTATTTTTTCTAAATTTCTTTTCTTTTGGTTCTTTTGGCGTGGAATAAAAAATTCTTTTCTGTAATTAAAGTACATATGCTAATAGTATAGGAAACGATTTGAAAGAATTTTTCACTCCACGCAGTAAAAAAAAAAATTTCACAAATAAAAGAAGGTAAAACAGGTCATAAATCTGCTTTACATCGTATTTTTTATTGCTTTTATAGAATTACAAATTCTTTTGTGTGATTAAAGTACACACGCTAATGTATTGAAGTCTGGTCAAATTAAAACCAAAAAACAAAAAAAATTTGGAAATTTTACTGACATGCGTTGGTACACGTCATACAAATTTTCTTTCTTTTCTTGGTTCGAATTCGACCACACTTTATTCTATGATGTCCGGACTAGACCGGAGTTTTAATTGGATAAAAAAAATTATTTGATATGATTGATACGATTGGAAATCAACTTTAATATAATTTTAACCTGTCAAACTATGCACTCGGATAAGCCACAAGTAGGATTATCCTCCGATCTAGACCGGGAATTACCACAAGTACTCTAATCACACGAAAGGATTTGTGATCCTATTGAAGCAATAAAAAAAACCATGCAAAGTAGATTTTTGAGATTCGGTCGGTACTCGCATGATCATTGCATTACGCAACTTATTATAATGTCCGCGATTTGACAATTGTTCGTTATTTTGATTCTTGTGGTTAATTTTAGAGAGTATTTACATCTAAAAGGTTTTCTCTCCTTCTTTCTCTCATTTTCTCTCTCATTCAATCATTAATTGAAAATATTTTTTATAAAAAAACGTTAAATTAATGTTTATGATATTGTAACTGTTCGTACAATAAAAACTTATTTAATGTTTTATATGAAATAAGAGAAATACATTGTTTTTAAATTTCAAAGATTTTTAACTAATTTTTATATTGTCAATTTATTTTTAAATTTTCTTTCTATGAAATTTTAATATTTCTCTATGTGATATCTACTATTTATACATAGTTTGATTCTATTACAACATGTTTTTTTATGTGAAATGATATTTTTTGATAGGAAATGTGTCGATTCATGCAAATACTGATAACAAAATTTTAGTAGTTACATGAAATATTATAAAACGACAAATCAAAACATAATAAATAATAAAAAAAAAATCATTGGAAAATCATACAAATGTCCTTTTTCTTTCTTCTAATACTTTTTTTAGAGAAAAAAGGAATAAACTTCTTTTACTGTAAATACTGTCTAAATACAATAAAGCATTATGACAAATAGAAAGAATATTACTTTTTAATAAATACAATATTATAAAAATTGCATATAAGAAGTACAAAGTACATCTAAAATTTTAAAACTATACCCCAGTATTATTAGAAACTGTATCTATAAAAAATCTATAAAGTACTGTCCTTTATAATAAAATAGTAAGAAATAAAAATAATAAAAGCATGATTTCTATAATTGTTTCTTTTTTACTTTTATATACCATTCTCTTCACTCCCTTCCTCTTTTTCGAACAAATATAAATTAAAAAATATAAAAATAACCTCGTGTAAAGATAACGATGTTTCAACATAAGTAGTTACTGGAAATTCGAAAGCAACCGCTTCGACATTTTTTGAGGGATGCTTAGCGCAGAGCTCGACTTATAGCGCAGAGCTCGACTTATGATTTTCGATTATACAGGATTTGAACGACCCAGGGTTGGTTAATGACGTCATTGCAACCTCTCCACCAATGAAAGACTTGCATTTATAGTAAAATAGTGATTGATCAACCCTGGGTCGTTCAAATCCTGTATAATCGAAAACGCTATTAGTTTCCGCTGTTTGCGTGCGAAATGAGTGTTAGTAAATTATTTTTGAGGTCGATCATTAGCTTAGTTTACACCGATTGTTTAGTACGCGTACCAAGTACTAAATCAGCTTTTTTGATTGGTGTAGATTTTACACTAAACGATTTATACCTATCGGAGAAGCAGATTTAGTATTTGGTACGCGTACTAAACAATCGGTGTAAACTAAGCCATTATTAATATTGGGTGTTTACTTAGAACATATATACTGGAAGGGGCATAGCCTATCTAAATATACATAACAAAAGTGTCCCCTGCATCTATCTATCCTTGTCTGTACGAAATTGGTCAATGCGTTTGCGCGAATGAATAACCGCTTAAGTTGAAAGTAGAAAGATTTAAAATAGGTGGAAGGCATTTAAAAATTTGATTATAACAATTTATTCTTTAAGTTATATTATAATATAATTGCAATATATTATAAATTATATATAATAATATGTAGTAATATGTAATAATAGTCTTGCAAAATAAAATAAAAATAATGATGCACATAACCAAAAACAAATACTGTAATGAACAATAATTATATACAGGATGTACAGGATGAACTAAAATAAGATAACAAACTTTGAGGAGCGAGACCAAACATGAAAAAAAATTTGACATTAACATATGTCTGTCAAACCCACTGTTAATAATATAAAATATATATTATTAATAAAAATAAAAAATAATATTTATTATTATGTATTATTCTCGCTCCTCTAAAGTTTGTTATCTTATTTTAATTATATCTTGTATATATAGTAACTAGTACAATAAAAATTATTATAATAAATAATAAAAAAATATTTAAAAACTTCATTGATGTTTAAATAGTATTAGTTTTGTATACTTTTTTATGATTATTTCTTTAGACTTGATTATATTGGAAGGCTTGTCATAGATAAGCTTGTTTAGTTTGTCATCACACATTAACAATAATCGACGCATGCGTATTGCAATAAAAATGTACAGACAAGGATAGATAAATGTTGAGGACAACGGCAAGTCAGCTATGCCCCTTCCAGTATATATGTTCTAGGGGTGTTTACGATAATTCAAGTTCGAGTTAGTTTCACTAAGGCACTAGATATGTAGGTATTCTCATCCGCCATTTTGGTTTCTATTAGATGGAGAATTATAGCGTATACAGGGTGACACTTAAAGACTGCCCACTAAGTACATAGCGTTAGGCCGGCGTCACATAGAACCCGTAATCCGTAATCCGCACCGGAAGTCCGCAAAAGTTACTAGGTATTTCGTCCGTAACGTTACGTGTGTTTTTATCTTCTTGTGTCCCATGGAGCCGTAATTCCATGAAATTTTCGTAAAAGTTACTACAAGTTACTAGTTATTACTAATAATGCTTTTCTAATTTATTTATTTAACTAAATTTGACGATTTAATTAAACTTTGTTAAATTATAATATATTCCGTAGTTTCTTATGAATAAATAC